GGAGAAATAATGCGGTTGTACATCACCAGTGGCTCTGAAATTGAAATGTATTTTTATGTCCCTAGAAGTCGTAATAGTCGTTTTCAATTTAGTCTCGGTGAAAAGAGGAACGAAATTCGCCTTTCAAATGAGCTCGAGTGTAGATCCTAAAGATCCTCGGTATAACTGGTGGGACTTCCAGCAATCACTCTAGAGAAAAAAAATGGAAAATGCAAACGAGGGAATTTGCGGATGGAAAATGTTAGGGGGTGAGTTTGAAAAAAACCGATGGGACTCAATGAGTTTTTGATTGGCATGAGAAACTAGCTTTCTCATTCCACGGGATTGACCCGAGAAAATTCAATCGATTGGGGAATGATAAAGGGAAATCTCCGGAAATTCTCGAAAGAAAAAATCCAATAGGAAATTGATTATTAATTATTTTACCATTCGTTCGTTCGAATGACAATAATTTAATCACCATGAAAAAGGGAAGTCATTCAATTCGATTGATTTGTTTATTTGAAAATAATTTAATTAACATGAAAAAAGAGGATTTATTATAATTTAAATGAATTATCACACGGAGTGATAATTCGATTAATTTCTTTCTTGAGTTTTTTGAGGATATCTCCGAATCTAAAGGAGATACCGAATTTTTCGTAATCACCTTTTATGGAAATCGTGATTAGTTGTATAGAAAAGGTTATAACAAAAATTCTGATATCTCCCTTAGATTTAATGTTTTTCGGTAATATCTGATCGCTACCCAAAATCACGTCACTTCGGTTCTAAAATCATTAATGATCTTTAAAAAATCAATTTATTCAATTAAAAATCGGTAAAAACGAAAAATAATACACCCACAGGTGCGGAAAATTCATATTACCGTACTAGGGAGAAAAGTGTAATTTTTGCGCACGATGTGTGCGTTAAATTTTATTTCTAATCTTGTGTCATAAAATACCATTCTGGATACACGTTTTCGCTCTTTATGACTCGGTTTTCCCATGAACTTCATCAAAGCTCATCCCAGGGCGAACATTAATAACCGAACAAAGCCCCAATTCCGAGTGAAACGCCTCATTCAGGACCGGAAACACCGATGCTTGAATAACCTGAGCCCAAGTATGTACCTATGTACTCTGTATATACTTTTATTACCACCCCTTGAGCCCCCAACTCTGGTGTGGCCCCTTGATCCTGATGAGCCAGTCCGAATTTCGCCAATTTTCACGATAACTAAACAGCCAATGTTTATTCAAGGCAGGCCATTCATCCGGTTGATCGATTCACATCCCCTTTATAGTCTAGTCTTTAAAGTCTTCACTGAAGCTATTCACGTTGAATTTCAGTGACACGACGATTTCAGGCAATTTCGTAAAGCGATTTCAGAGATATTATTCAATCGTTGAAATCATTGATTGCACTGGGAAGGCTTTCATGATTTGAGGATTATAAATGACTTCAGGGGATTTAAGCGATTTCTGTTACCGATTTCTGTTACCGATTTCTGTTACCGATTTCTGTTACCGATTTCATCCGATTTCAAATGATTCCCCACGATTTTATATGCAATCACATAAAATCGTATGATTTCTGTGAATTCAGATGATTTCATGGGATTTCATGGGATTTCATGGAATTCCATTCGATTTCTCTGCGAATTTTGAAGAATCATTGATTTATTTGGGGGCATTTCAGAGGATTCAAACGATTTCATGGATTTCAGAGATTTCGATGATTTCCGGGGCTTGAGAGTTTTTTAATAATTATTATTTTTCAATATCAACTAGAATTTTTTTCTTCGCGAGTCAGGCGGTGTGCGACGGATGTCTAGTGTTACCGATTTCATATGATTTCATGGGATTTCATGAGATCTTGCATTCGATTTCACTGTGAATAGCCCCTCATTCTTCACATCAGTGTGCGTAACCAGCAACTCCACTCCAACTCTCATTCATTCGTTTAATTCTAGTCTTTCGTTTCTTTTACCATTCGTCTGCCCTCCGGCACTTCGATTCTAGATTAAATTTCAACCCTTTGAGTTATTACTCCCGTAACACTGGAAATTTTCACACTTGAAGTCATTTAAATAGTCCAATAGAAGACATTTAATGGAATTTTTTTAGGTGTCAGTGAATGGATCTCTGAGTTTTGATTGCACTCGTGCGTTACAGGTTTATTCAGTTGAGGTGGCACTTTATTTCAGGGAATTTTATTTCGTCCGAGATTCCGAAAATTAACGAGAGTTAATTACGAGAGTAATATCTCGTATTTATATTGATATGCACATATTTTCATTCAGTTATACCGAAATTCCGGGGAGAAATTCCAGTTTATTAGGGAAAAGTCGTATTTTTTTTTTTTGAAACGCGTTGATGCAGGCCTAGGGGTTGCCAAGAAGAAAAGAGAGACGTAACCATCGGTGGTGCACCCTGAGGGTTTCCCACCCCCAGGTTGGCCCACTTACAGTCTCGTATGTTGTGTTTTTCCCTCTCCAAAAGCCTCTTCTGTGCTCCATCCACCCACGTCTTTTCCTCTTTTTTTTTTCACCTTCAATTCGCCCATCCACTCCTCCCAAGTACTCATACCCTTCTTTTTCGTCTCTCATTTCCATTCTCCTCTTCAAAAACTACATCACGTGTTTATCCGAGATACTATCGACCAATATCAATCGCCAAGAATCGAAGAAAAACATTTTCGAATGATTGAACGTCGAAAAAGCGAAGTGCCACGCGTAAAATAGACTGACATTCCATTTTGACGGTGAAACCGGGGAGTTTTAGTTGTCAAACATTTTTGGATGGATTTTTTATACTGCGGGAAAATTTGAAATTGAAATTGCAAGGGAAAAAATCTGTAATTTTTAATAACGACAAAGGGATATGACATTTTGATAGAATCAATCAATCTCGAATTAATTATTCTGAATATTCTGGTAATTCTCGATTTCCAGGTTGATATGACAGTGAAAAACGGATTTTTTTTTTAATTTAAATAATTACCCGGAATTTTTAATCTATTGAACGTTCAAGTGTTGTTTATATAAGTCGACGTATCTCTCAATCGAGTTTTTGGAGAATATCTCTGAATCTAAGGGAGATACCGGAATTTTCGTAATTGCATTTCTTGTAGAACTCAATTCTCTCCACAAAAAATGTCCTGATGAAAATTTTGCTATCTTGCTTAGATTCTGAGATATTCATCAAAAACTGGTCAATAGTCAAAAGTGGTTCATTACATTTTAACACTTTGAAAATTTATTGGAAGTTTTCATCGGAAAAATCAATTATTATTTAATTGAAAAACCCATTTATGACTGAAATTTAAATAATGAAATAATTTCTTCATTAGTTTCCGAGAAAAATTGATCTGTAGAAGTCGAGAATTTACGAGAGACTGAAAATTGACTCGGCGAACGCGTGTTATCACCGACCATTAAACCCCTTCCCCACTAATTTTATCAGTGATAACGGATGGTCTGAATCCTTTGATGGCATTTCCGACCAGTTCGTAAATATCAGTCCGTATTTTCTCTCTGTGAAATTGCACTTTCATTAAATATACAGAAGCCCAAGGTACAGAAGACAGTTTCGGTTTTACCTTCATTACGCCCTGAATTTTTCATTCGTAGAATGAAAATTTCATTGAGTTAAACGCTAGCCTTTAGTGCGCACTGGGGGCGACCCACTATAATTTCCTCTTCACATCATTACAAAAAAAGAAAAAAAAATCTACAAAAGATTAAACCACAAACACGTTTTTCCCCTTTTTACTATTTAAAATTCAAAATAGTAATTTGTTTTCTATGAAAAAGAATTTTAGATATTTTTGGATATTGAAAAACTTCTCATTTCCTTTGATAATAATTCCAACAATTATTTATTATTATTATTATTATGGATAATTAGGTAAATTGACAATTTCAAAGATAAAAATTGGAAGTTTCTACCCAAAAAAATTTGTCTAGTAAAAAAAATACAACAGGTGAAACCTCAAAAATATTTTCTTCCTTTTTTGAGATTTTAAATTCAAAAAAGTTTTTTTATTGTCGTTATAAAGAATAATTCTGACGAATAATTGAGAGACTTTTGATTTCATGTGATAATTACTCCAACAATTATTAATTACGTATGTAATCAATAATTGATAATTATTGTTATTACCATGAATAATTCGATGAATTGAAAATTTCAAGAGTAAAATCTGAAGTTTCGGTGAAGAAAAAATGTCCTCGAGTTACAGGGACTGTTATATTTCATTCTCTTTGTCCCTGACTTATTTCCTACATCTTATATCAGCGCCGATATCCTCCAGCTATGAAACTCTCATGTACTTCGTGAGTGTTTACCTCCCGACACAATGTATGTGAAATGTCAGCGAAAAATCGCAGCACGTGCTGTAGAAAAATTGCAATATTAAATTCTCTGGTAGTGCTGAGGGTATAAGCAACAAAAGAGTTGTTCCCATGGCGTAGTAACGGTTAAATCCATACAGAACTCTCAAAAACAGACACTGAAATTTTACCCAGAGTTTCAGTTTTTACTCTTCACCATCACAACTTTTATCCACTTTTATCCACTAGTGTCCACTCAGCGGTTTCTTTATTTTTTTCCTTTTTTCTTCAGATTCACTGAAAATCCTGGGGCATTGATTCACCGATTTATTTCTAATTCACTTCTTCTGACTCCTGCCGAGTTAATTTACGTTGCAGAAATGATAATTACTAATTTGCATTTTGCAGATTTTATTTTCATAATTAACAAATTCATTTGGCAGAGGGAATTATTTTTCTCAGTAAAGTAAATCTCTGGGTTAAATCGAGAACTATTTTTGGGCATTAATTCAAAGAAATCGGGATTGACTCCTAATTAATGACTAATAATTAATGAGCAAGAGCTAATGGATAATCAACGAATTCACATGGCAAAATTAATGATCTCGTTCAGTAAATTGAACTCTCATTTGAATAGACAATTTTTAATTGTTTTTAATGATTATTTTGAAGTAATACTCACTCGGTTTGATTGTCCTCGAAGATGAGGGAGCCCTCGCTCGGCATGTATTGCTTGTTAGGCTTTGCTGTACCCTCGACGGTTCGATAGGGCAGGGCAACTCGTCCTCTAGCTCCACTGTATCGTAATACCCTGAGGGGATACTGTCCAACACTCTCGACTAGCTCGACGTCACGCTCTGGGAAGCCGAAAATTCCACTGTGGTCGTCATCCAGGATCATTACGGTTGCCAGACTCGGGGATACCAGCATCGCTGACTGAGATACGTTGCTCAATCTGCAATTACATTATTCGAGTTAATTAGTGGCTGTGGAAATTCAACCGGAAATTCACTCTTCCATTTGTCCCGGTAATTTTGCTATTTTCCCTCTGATGTTTTGTTTTTAATTCTTTTTCACGTCTCTCACGATCGTTTATGGAAATTAATATTTCTAGATTCAACCGATTTTGCCGATTTTTTAACGATTTCGTTGCGCTAATGGGTTTGATTCATTTTCCAGTGAATTTAAATAGACAGGTTTTTTTGGGGATCTTCTCGATTTCATCTCGATTTTATACCGATTTTTCTCGTTTATTTATTCTTTTTTATTTCGATTTGGTCGCTGTTTAGTGCCGATTTAATTTCAATTTAATGCCGATTCGATCGCATCCCCCCATCACCATAAAACAAATAACCCATAAAAACTCATCACTTTCACTCCCTCACCTACCGATTCTAATGAGTCTAAAAATACCACAGCCCCTAGTCCTATCCCGATCATCACGATGATTGATTCCGTTCGATACGTCCGTCACTCAAACCGTCACTGCAACATGCATCGTCAGAACTTTCTCGCGTAAAAAAAAAACACAAACCTTCAACTCCCAGAGTTTCGAAAACATCGAGGAAATTGAACATTCCATTCCGCTGGTGATGGCAATCAGCCCCTTTTTTTTTCATTTCCCGTCACTCTAAATTTAATGAATCCTCAGCTCTTCAAACATCCCTCGCTGTACAAACACACGAGATTGCGCGAGTGAATACCATATAGAGATTACCAAAAGTATATTGCCAGGTACTAGTGACGTGATGCGAATGAAAGAGTACAACTCCTCAACGATTGAATTTTCCATTTAACAAGTTAATTCGTTCTGGCACGCGCTCCTCGTTAATTCGCGGGGGAATGAAGGGGGATCCCCCGACCTACATCGGTTATTATCAGGGCCATCGACACGAGACGACGGTCCGTCGAAAAATAGTGCCGATCGTAATCTCGCGAAACGCAAATTATCCAAGAAATTCTTGACATGATGAAGACATTCCTGTTAATCTCCCAGATCGAGACTGATTTATTGAGAAATATCGTGATGAGTGATAGCGAGTCATACTCCATCCGATTCCTGTATCGGGCATGAGAATAAACAGAAATTGATTCATATCGTCTACTCGGGATTCCCATTATTTTCACGAATATCCGGATAGCTGGAGACGATAGAGAAAAATAGCAATAGATTACCAGTGATTTCGTCATCAAAAAATTCCAATTCCTTTAAAAAACCGGCAATTTAATGTTGAAACACGAAACCTGCAATTTAACGTTGAAAATTACGACTCAATTGCCCATAAAATTTAATTTCTTCTCCGAAAATATTACAACCCACAATTTATCATTACAATTCCAGAAACTGGATTAATTTTAATCGAACAAAAGAGGAAACTTGGGTACTAGTTAATTGCCCCAGTATACGCGATTACTCAAAACTCTCAAGATCAGATCTGCAGGTGTCGTTGAGTTTAATTATCAAACGTCCTGCCATTTTCTCCATTAATTCCGCAGTACCCGTACGAAATATGTATACGATACATCTGAGTGACTGTATCTCGTTGCAATTATCAGAGACTAGATAAGCCAGTCCGTTTCCCCGAGGACAGGACATGAAGGTGTCTCAGTGAAGTCTGAGCTACTCAGTTATTTATGCATCACCTTTGAAATCAAAATCCGCGATATAATCCCATTGATCACGTAAATCCGTAATTTCACTAGGAAATCCAATTTAAAGAAAGAACTCTCGTCATCTCATCTAGTTACCGTATTATTTCTCTTATTCGTGTGGGTTAAATCGTGAGTATAACCTCGAGGCTGAATAAACCCAGTGCTAATTCACCCCTCTGTATCGTCCAATCGAATTTCCCGTTGTGATTACCCCAACGGTGCATAGTTTCCTGATTACGTCAAAATTGTCGTCAACTACAATGTAGAAGCATGAGAATTATATTAGCACATCCAGCGCCCAGTTCATCTACCAATTCCGGTTTACTTGGATCATCTGTTGGTGCTAATACCTGATTGCATCTCTCATTGAATTGACCGTCAACATATCATCAGCATATTGCAACGAATCTTCTATTTCTCAAGTTCTTTAATTGTTCTTCTATTTTTCCTGCTTCGGAGCTCTCCTAGGAGATCAGTAATGCTGATTCCTTTTGATTCCCTTTTATCGCTTTTTTTCTCCTTATTGTCAGAGTCAACATCTGATATTGCTCTTCCCTTAATTCAATTTTAATTGAACAATTAATGATTTTGTATTCCGCGTATGCTTCACTGATGTCTAATGTGGGAAGACATCACTCACCTGACGTAGAAGTGTTCGTCTTCTTCAAACAGCTCATCATCGATAACCGACAGTTGAATGGTCTTTCTGGTTTCACCAGGTTCAAAGATAAGTGTACCCTTGGCACTGATATAGTCAGAGCCAGCCTCAGCCGATCCATCCTCCGTGCAGTAGTCAACGGTGCATGGCTTGCTCAAATCTCCACCCACTCTCGTAACACCAACTTCAAAAGTACCAACGTTCTCCATAACGGTGTAATGACCAGGATCAAAGAATACCCTAGTTGCATTGATATGCTCAATGTCAACGACTTCAGCCTCAGCCCTCTGGAGTTCAGCCTTGACCTCGCTCAAATCGCTCTGTGCACGTTCGCTTATTTTTCTACTGAGATTACCAGCACCAACCATCTTTCTGGTAGCTAGTACCCTGTAGAAGGCACGACTCTTGGGTCCTTTGCCGAGTACCTCCTCGTGTGCCATCACCTCCAGCTGCTCCAGGGGTAGTGTTGGATGCTTCTTTCTTAGATCTCTCAGTGTCTTGATGTAATCACGTCTCGTTTGCTCGAATTCCCTTGCCTCCGGCCCCTCATCATCAACTCTATCAACAAACAGGTGTGGCCCATCGTGCTCTTTTATCTCCAGCTCAACTCCACCATCGGAATCACCAGCTTCAGCCTGAACAATAACACCACGCTTGTTCATTCGATAGCCCTTGTGAAGGTACTTGTAAATGAGCAGTCTTCTGTCGGCTACCCATGCTGTTAGGACAGTTGCTGGGAAGAATGCAAATGTCAGTAGTCCTTCCCAAACATCGAGTACACCAGGTGTCGATACTGATAGAATAATGTACAACCATACGTAAGCGAAGATACTCCAAGTAGCTGTTACGAAGAATACCCTCAAGTGCTTTATCTTTCTGGTTTCACCATTGGGTATCACAAAGACACACAGGGCTATTATGACAAAAAGATTGTAGGCCGCTGAACCGACAATGGTGCCCGGTCCTAAATCACCAGCTTTGAAATCCTTAGCCCATATTTCAATGATCGATAGAAGTATCTCAGGTGCACTACTACCAAGTGCCATAAGTGTCAAATTAGCAACAGTCTCGTTCCACACACGAACAACTATGATCTGAGGCTCGCGTCCTGGTCGATGCACCACGAGCTCCTTCTCCTTCGATGTTATCACCTCGATAGCAGCCATAAATCGATCGCTGATTATTGATACACCGATGAACAGATACAGCAGTAGAAAGAAATACGTTATACCACGGATTATTATGTCCGATAGTGCGATATTCTCCTGCGATCCCCATATCGGCACAACTAGACCTGGTGTGCAGTTTGTGTAGTAGCCACCCATCCTGATGATAATCAGAGACACCTCCAGAGGATCATCACCTTTCGGCTTCAATCAATTCCATTCCTACGATCAATCCGACAGCTTCTTGTCTTATCACCTGTTCTTTTGACTGTGGTTATCCTGATATTGGTGATGCTTTGTTGATCACTGGATTATCATCACTCCACAGTCATCCTCTGATTTTTGTACCTCTGCATGACAGCATCTGGGTAATTAACAATTACCGGTGAAATTTTTTTGGAAAACTCCAGGTAGTTTGATCCATCACGTTCACTCACACACACGTTAATCACGATTTGACGCGGATAAATACATGAGACGTTTGCCGAACCGCGTACGAGGTAATACTGAGACTGAGGAAGACCAGCGGTGGGTGAGCAAGCCGGGGCTCTTCGTTCCACTCGTCTCTACTCTTCTCTCGTATTTGTCGCGCATGCTGGAGAAGTATTGGCCAATCACTTATCATCAGCTGTTGGTTTTATCATTGAGTGGTGATGATTTTGGGTGGATAAATTGGAATGCCGTTGGTGGAGGGGATTGAGGACGTGATGGACAGGTTGTGTTCCTGATGGTGATGATGGATGGGGTCATAGCTTGAGGGAGGTGTGACAGGTTGGACGATTCATTTGAAATGTACTCCTAGTTTTGTTTCTGTTCAACTTGTGCTGGAGGTTTGGAATTCTGTCGCCTTTCAACCGCGTCCCTGCCAACCCCTGGCGCATGCCCTCTGGAGTATTGCTTCGCCCTTACTCTACTCCACCCCAGACACAACGGCGAGCCACCACCGAGACACTCCTACGGATGATGATGATTTTTCGATGCATGGATTATACGGTCGAGTGGACTATTTTGGAAGTGTGAGATTTTCAAGGATTTTTGCAGAATTCTTGAGGAAAAATTCAAATATTTCTCGTGATGGATTAGGTGAGGGACGGGGTGGAGATTGGGGATGGGTGGGTGTGGGATTTTTTTCGGGGTTCATGATGATTGGGTGGGGTGCTCATGCCACGATTCACCGGAAAATTGTGAGAGTGTTTTTCTCATTTCTTTTGCTGTCGAGATTAGATTGATGGATTCGTCAATCGGTTGGGGATTTCTTGGGAGGGGAAAGGCTCTAATTAGGTGATGAATAATTCGTTGAATTGAAATTCGTTGAGGAAATCTAGGGATTCAGTAGTTTTTTTTTCTGCTGACGATCGATGATTCAAGTTTTCTCCCCCTGTAGGTGCGGTAATCCTAGAGACTCGGGGAACATTTGGAATTTGCTTACTCTTCGGGGATATGATTCAGTCCGTATGGCGAAAGGAGAGGCTTTCCCATGTTTTAGATTCACCCCAATTTTTTATTCCCCTCTGCAACAACTCGTGGTAATGCTTACATAGGAATTTACATCGGATTTATTTTTCGTTGATTGTTAATTTAGAGTAACTGGAATCACTGAGATAATTTTTTAGTTGAACGGAGAATTTGGATTTTTATTGATTTCACTGGGTCGCTATCGCCGGGTCTCTGTGAGCTCCGATCCTTCAAAACTCTGGAAAAATGAAAAGAATTTGTCATTTCAACATGAAAATTCTATGCGGTGGGAGAATTTAATAAAAATTTCAGAATTCGCGGCGAAATTCTTGGGAAATATTGTAATTTCACTAGAGTCTCCGGATTTTTCATATGATTTTTCATATTCAAGAAAATCGGCGAAATTTTCCGAAAACCAATGAAAATTATTTCCACGTAATTCTGTAATTAGAAGAATTTCTAATTAAATTATCCAACAGTAAATTATCAAATTTACAAAATTATCCAGCGAAAATATTCCAGACAAAATCCCCCAAAGAATATAATTCCCCCACAATTTCCGGATTTTCCGCGGAAATTCAAATAAATTCCCTCCCACTATCACAATGGAAAAACCTTCAATCCGAATTTTTCCCGATGAAATAGAAAACCGAATTTCCCACCGAAATATTGATCTCCAAAAATCTACGACTCACCTTAAATCTCCCCTCCCCACAATGAAAATTGTAGCACTGGCATATCTCTCCGTCGTCTCTGGCACTCCCAGGTGGTTTGATATTAATTACGAGAGTCTCAGGCAACTTAATTAACGCTCTAGCCGAAAAATTGCGCATAGGATTTCCAGCTATACTCAAATACTCAATACCGCTGATATTACGGAGAGACATATTTTCTATTTCCGTGAATGAATTACTGTCCAAAAGGAGTCGCTGGAGGGAAATCCCCGATATCCAATTTTCCGGCAATGTAAGAAGCTTATTACCGGACAAATCCAGTTCGCTGAGTGACGTCAGGTCGTCGAATGCACCAGGTTCGACCTGGCTGAGGGCATTGTTAGCGAAACTGAGAGTCTTCAGTTTCGGTAGATTCATGAATGACGCCCCAGTGACAACTTTCACTTCATTTCCATTCAACAATAAATTCTCAAGGTTCTCCATGTCATCGACATCAGGTATATCCCTCAAAAGATTATTACTCAACACCAATGACTTGAGATTCGTCAGGTTGACGAAGACGTCCAGGGGAAGGACCTCCAGGTAGTTTCCAGATAGATTGAGGTATCGCAAGTTCTCCAGGTCAGCGAAGGCATCCTCGTCAACCTCCATCAACATGTTATCAGCAATTGACAATTCTTCGAGTCTTTTAGCACCTGCGAGGTTTAGCAGGGGATCGTTCTCGTAGAACTTGTGCTTATGTTGGTGACAACTGTCTCCTGAGCACAGACGGTAGATGTTGTTGTGTCCCAGCATCAGCACCTCTAGCTGATTTATCACTGATGAGTTCAGGTACTCGATTGAGTTGTTCTCCAGGTGTAGGTGTGTCAGCGTTGAGGGTATGAATGTGGAGAAGAATTCCCTGGATATGTCGTTGTTCTCCAGGTGAAGGTGCGTCAGGTTCGGAGTGTTCTCTAAACCCGAGAGCATTGAGATTCTGTTATTACGCAGGTGAAGCTTCTCCAGGGCTGGCAATGCCCCCTTGATCTCCAGGTTGACATCGAAGTTTTGGGTTTTTCTTTTGTCTTTGGAGAGGCAGGGGGTGCAGTGCTCACTCAAGCTCAAGCTCTCCTCCAGGTCCTCTGGGGATGCCACGGTGAGCGCATCATCCAGCACCAGAGTCTTCAGCTTTGGAAAATCTTGGGTTAGCTTACTGTAGGGTAGAAAATTCCCTGCTAGGTTCAGGTACTCCAGGTTCGGTAGATCCTCGAATGCCTCAGCGTCGATGCTCCATATCTGATTGTCCTGGAGATTTAGGGAATTTATCAGGGAATTTGACAGGAATTTTCTCCTCAAACGCTGCAGCCCCGTTTTTGAAAGATTAATTTCTAAGTTATTGTCGCACAATGAATTCAATTCCGATGAGACGAGGTTTATCCAGATGAATAACAAGATTATTCTTTTGCAGGTGATCATCTTCATGACTTTGGAGGTGCGTCTCTAGTCTGCGGTGTACCTGATCGAACTGACGGTTTTGGAATTGAAATTCCGGTGTGATGCCTCCGAAGGACTGCTGATCTCATCATTCTCACGGGCAAAATCGGCGAAAGGGTAAGTGCATTTTTCTTTTTGCGATATTCTGCAGTTTTGAATGAAATATACATTTTTTTTATGTGAATTCACGCGTTTTAGTCTTGATCATCAGAATTTGAGGCACGTGCGGCGAAAAAATTGTGAGAATCCAACGAATAGAATTATTTTCGTCACAATTTTTTTCGTATCAATCGTATTTATTTATGAATTATGAAATTCGTAATATTTTTCTTCAAAACTTTTTTTAATTTTGAAACGATCTCTGCGCCGCTTATCGCTTCTCAGCTTTCGTAATTATTTCACTCGGAAAACGCGATTTTTTAATTGAGAGGTTGTGAATTTAATTTACGGGAATTCTGATGTCGTAAATTACGAGTTGAAAAAACGTAAATTACGACTTTGAAAATGGCAATTACGATTTTTTATCTCGTCAATTACGACTCTAGAGACGTAAATTACGATTTATAAATTATATAATAATTGATAAATTGCAAGATCGATCTCGTCATTCACGTCCTTAAAATCGTAATTAACAAAATAAAAAATGATAATTAACGTTTTTAAAACCGTAATTAAAAGATAAAAAATCGTAATTTACATTTTTCCCGTCGTAAATGACAAGATGAAAAATCCGGCAAATTACGTATAAAATATCGTATTTTCGGCAAATATTTTCGCTATATCGAAATTCAAACTCATGCCTGAACCTGAATGATAGACCATCTAACAAGCCCGAAGGATTGCCAACACCAAGCGATAATAAATTAACGAATACCCGTAACTTCCACACCACATAAATTTTATTGCCCCTCATAAAACATGATAATTACAATAACGCAAGGAAATTAAACACTGGGCGATCAAAGGAAGCCGATGAATTATCAAACTCCTGAAATTCCTCCAGGAATAATACCACCCTAAACATCAACAGCCCACCCTCCAACACTAATTCCCATCACCCTGTACCGCAAACTCGTGGGTAAATGAGTTAGCCATCTAGTTTAAATTACCAAGTCCACTTATCACTAAAAGTTATCCTCGGAATGGTGTATCCGCCATCGCACTCGACATAACAGCCACTCCGATAGACAGACTCAGTGTATTTAACATGAACAGTTGTATTATAACCGATACTCCAGCGATCAGCTGTGCTACCACTGGCCAACGGTGTCCCCTGGACATAAAGATGGGTCAAAGTCCAGAGATTATTGATCGATAAACTCTCAAAGCTGGTGAAATAATTTCCCCGTACATCCAAATGATGCAGACAAGTGTCAGAAATCCATCCCCAGGGTAGATAAGACAGCTGATTATGAGAGAGGTCAAGCTCCTCCAAAGAGGTCAGATCGGTGAAGGCATCAGTCTCGATAGAACTGATTCGATTTCCGCCAAGGGACAGCCACTTGAGCCAATGGAGATTTGAGAAGGTGCGAGTGGTTATTCGGTCGATGTAATTATGATCGATCGACAAGCTACCGATCATCACGAGTCTGCTGACATCAGGTACGCGAGTCAGACGATTGTAGCTCAAAGACAAATCCTCCAGCTGGTGGAGGACATCGAGGATTCCTGGGGGTAGATGAGTGATTGCATTGTGGGCTAGATTGAGACTCTGGAGATTTCTTGCCTCGTTGAAGCATCCAGGCTCGATGTAACTCACGTCATTTCTCAGAAGCGATAAGAACTTTAATCCTCTCATTCCTCTCAACACTAGGTCATTCCCCTGACACTGCCACGAGCAAATCGATGAGATACGATTGCCATCGAGAAAGAGCGAGGACAGATTTATCAGCTCTTGTGTATCTATCTTCGTTATCCAATTGCGCTCCAAGTGAAGGTGTGTCAGGGTTGAGGGTAGATGGATGTGAGTGAAGAGTCTACCCTCGAGACGATTGTCGGAGAGGTATAGGTGGGTCAGGGATGGAAACTGGTGTCTCAGGTTGATCCTGATGTCACGTATTAAATTTTTTCGGAGGTAGAGGTGCTCTAGGTGAGAGAAGTAGCTGCTACTGGAGAGAATTAGATCTGTCTGCTGGCCTTGAGAGTCATTCTCGTCGATTACTAGGGTCCTCAGTTCATCTGGATTGCCAAAGCTCAATAGATCGCACAGTTGGATTCGATTACGAGAGAGATCCAGGTACATCAGGTTTGGAACATGAGAGAAAGATCCGGATTGAATTCCCTCGATTGCGCTGTCTGTCAGGCTCAAGCAGGAAACTCTGTCGCTGGTTATGAAACCCGGGTACAAAACCCTCGGGGATACTCCAGGAAGGCTCAGCACTAGGTCACGATTTCGGTAGTCCTGACATTTTCCTGTCTGCAGGGGCAGCTCTTTTGTGATGCTGTGCAGCTCTAGGGAACGATCGATGTGCGTTAGGGGGAAGATTATTCTTCGATCGTGATGGGACAGCACCTGGTGGCCTCCGAGGAGATGGGATACCAAGATCACAGCGATTATGTATGTCATTACGATCTGGAAGGATGAGGAAGATGAGGAATTCAAATTTGATAACTCGTCGGTGGACACTCACTTGTTCTGCTTCCTGGTGTCACAGTACATTAGATCATGAACTTCTTGATTACATGCTTTTATAGCTGTTTATCGACCTTAACTCATCTATCAGAATCATTCAGCCCTGGGAATAGACAATACTGCAATCATTATTGAATATCGAGACAAATGTTTATCACGGGGTCAAAACAGTTTATCTCGTTATCCGTAATAACAGATGCTGATTCGGATTCGGTGGATTATATTCCCTCTGCGATAATTGATGCTCGTTGGAGGTTTGTCTGAGTGTTGTAATTAAATTGAAAGTGAATTTAAAAAATTGATGCAAGTGGCTTAATTTGAAGTTTCCACTGCGACTTATTGAGCGTTAGTTATTGTTCACCGCGTCATCATAAATATTTATAGCGGATCCCATCGATTGGGGAGTGGTACTCCACATCCAGGATCACGCCGCCATCTTTCGTGGTCCAGGAAAGCCTCCAGTGGACATCAAGCAAGATTCACGCGTTATTTCAATCCTGTAACCCTTTGGAGATGGTTTAGCCTGTCGTAAAATCTTCCACGACGTTCATTAAATAATCATCAAAGACCTCTGACTTACCAACAGCTGAATCACTCGAATCCATCAAATCATCTCCAACTATTGATTCACCTTACCAGAAGGAAATTACAATGAGAAAATCGGAATAATTCCTCAGGGATAATTTACCCATGAAATCACGTTTTAACGATCGATACCACTGGGTCCAGCAGTTCTTTATTTATTTACAAAGCCTCACTCTAACAAATAAATAATCTCTCAACAGCGGTCTATTTACAAAAGAGAAAAACAAATGTGATAAAAAAAATCGATTGGATCTCCTGGGGAGCGTAAACCCCAGGTGAATCCATAACATCTTCGAGGGCTCAGGTCTTCGACGACTCGGTTTCAACATCAATCAGACTGGAGTGCTCGTCAGAAGTCCTGGAACAGGGCCAATTGATCTGGGGGAAGAGGTGGCTGTGATCTCCAGTCGATCTCTGGGTAGTCGTCAAAACAACTGGCATCACCTGGGGCCTTTACCCTGGGGTGAATCGGTGGGGTCAATGCTCTTTGAGGAACCTAGAAGGATTGATGAAGAATTCATAAAATTATCCAAGAGTTGATGGAGATCAAATGGAAATAAGATGATATCATCTTTTAATCATGATGATGATGAGTCTTAATTAAAGATTTATCTGATTGAAAATTTATTCAGATATCTTGAGGAGAATTGTAGACATTTCATGATAATGATCTCACCAAACTCCAATCAATCAGCTTGAACCATCTGTGACGTTTGACATCCTCAGCTGCTTGTCTCATGTTGCCGAGTCGTTTTGTCCTGTCGGCTACGAGAAGCTTCTTGATGAGATCCTTGGCGACGGGGTCCACGTGCTTGGGCCACTCTATCCTACCACCTAGAATTTTCTCGTAGATGCCGAAGGGATTGTCGTCGAAGAAGGGTGGATATCCAGCTAGCATCTCGTAGATCAGAACACCTAGGGCCCACCAATCCACTGCCTTGTTGTGGCCTTTGCTCTGGATTATCTCGGGTGCTAAATACTCTGGTGTTCCACACAAAGTCCAGGTTCTGGAAGGTTGATCAGTCAAATATTTGATATCACGAGAATCAAAATGGAGGAGCAGCGAATCTGTGAGAGGAGTTTTGGGAATTATTCGTTTATTCGTTGAATCCAGTGATGGGAATATTTTTTTAAAGTTTTTGAAGTCAAGTCTTTAATTAATTATTCATTTAATTATTTGAGTCTTTAATTTTTCAAAGGAATAAGTCGAAAGAAACTTTTACAAACTTTTATTTAAACTACTATGAGCTTTAATGAATTGAAATTTAATTGAAAATTTATTTCAGAAATGAAAATATATACCTAGAGTATTTGAAAAAAATGATAAAAAATCCGAAAGATTAATATTCCGTAATTTTCAAGTCTTTCCAGACTTCCAATTAATTTCCAAATAAAATGTAACACTTCCCTTGGACTTGCACCCCCAAAAAAATTCAAAAGTGCCCATCACTGGTTCAACCCTTAATGGATGTCCATCAGGGAATGCCCCCAAGAGCGTCTCGCTGTCTCCGGCATCAGTGATTTTAAAAAAAGAAAAACTGTCGTCATCACCGAGAACTATCGGTTATATCCCAAAATAAAAGGGTAATAAAAGCTCGAAAAGTTGTTTATAGGAGCACATCTGGTCGATCAACCAACCGCAAAGGCACTCTCGACGTTGAGACGCTGGATATACGTCGACCTGAATCATCATTCAACCGGAAGTTTGCTCTCTGTCTCGTTCCAAGACAATACGAATGAATTACGAGGAGAATACGTAAATATTAGCTTGGATAGTTGAGCGGTAAAAGTTGGACTGGTGCTAAACAATTGGATGCAATGATTCGGTATTTGTTTTGGAATTGTGAGTAATTTTAGACGTTAAGTCATGAATATCGAGGTGATTTTTGGCAACTGAGGAGAGAATCAACGCAGCATTATCACCTGTCTGTGAGCTTCTTGGAGAAACCGAAATCTGTGATTTTGAGGTGGCCCTGGCTGTCTAATAACAGATTCTCCGGCTTCAAGTCACGGTAGACAATGTGCCTTGAGTGGAGATAATCCAGGGCACAAACAATTTCTGATGCATAGAAGCAACTGGTGGGGACGGAGAATCTTCCAGCTGCTCTCAAGTAGGAGAATAATTCACCACCGGCTACGAATTCCAGGAGCATGTAGACGTTCGATGAGTCTCTGCCACTCCACAACCTGAATCAGGATCATTTTATTGATCTATTAAATTGATTGAGCCTCACAATATCTCTGACGACGAGAAAAATGAATAGTTCATAACGAATTTCAGGCAAGAAAATTCTACGAAATAATGTGAAGAGACAAAGATAAATAACAAATTCGATAATTTGCGAATTTGCAAATTTATGAATTCAGAATTGAATTGAATTGGATTTCGGAGGCATCCAGTGGTTTTACGGAAAAAATGGTAATCACCTTTTTTGGAGAGATTGAAATTCCCCACAAAAAATGTGATATGGAATAATCTCGGGGAACTCGCCGTTCTCGAGATAATCGGCGAGAAAGTAATCGATTTAACTCACATGTTGACTATAAAAGGATGATTGACTTCTTTGAGGACTGAAACTTCATTCCTGACGTGTTCCACCTGTTTAAGTCGAATCACGTCGACCATGGAGAGGACTTTGAGTGCTAAGGGACTGCCCTGATGTCTACAAAGCACCACTCGGCCAAAAGTACCGGTACCTGTTGAAAAAAAATCATAAAAACGTGACAGGAGAGGTAATTTTTATCAATGAAAAATCATATCGACCCTGACTAGTTGGCTGGCATCAACTTTTATAAATAATCAAAATTGGCGGGTGTCTCTCGCATTAACAAACAGCGACAGGTGTCCACTGACTTCCGGTTATTCTCGGCTGTTTCAAAGTTTCATTTGTTACGTCGCATTGTCAATTACTCCGACATTTACTAATTTTATTCAATTAATTGAAGATTTATCCCGGGGTTTCGCACTTTTTCGTGCTTTTTTTAATTTTTATAACAATTTATTATTTCAGGATTTGATTTGCTATTTGAATATTTATTTTAATATTCAGGAATTTATTGTAAGGGAAATTTTCGAAGGGATTGATTGCAAGAAACTGAAAAATGTTGAAATCTCGTTGTTTCGCCGATTTTTTATTTAAACTATAATAACTTCACGCCAGAGGCTGGAATTAATTGACCCCTCAATTTTCATAAATAACGGAACCGTTTATTCTTCTCCCATTGTTCTCCAATTTTTTCCAATCCACGATTTTATTTGATTGACGTGGAATGAGAGAAAACCGACAACACGTATTCACTCATAAAATACAAAACCAAATAAATAAAACCCAATGGTTTAACCGATTTATAAAAATGCGATTACCCCAATGGCTTAACCGATTGCTCCGGCAAAGTTCGTTGACTCAAATTTATTCATTTCTCCAGAAAAAAGAGTGAAAATTAATTTAAATTAATTAATTCATTCATTAATCAATCATTTTGGATTTCAAATTAACAAATTCTAGAAATTATTTTCTCACGATTTCGATGAAAAAATATCTAAAACCTCAACGAAACCGGTTTTTCAGTGTCTGCTAAAAGACCGTCGCGAAACCGCGAAAAAAAAACACTGAAAACGTGCGAAAAAAAAAAATCGGAAAGTGCAGAGGACAGTTTTTCTCGTCACGGCACCGCTCACTTCTCCTGTCCCACTTGTTATCGCCTTTCTTTCCCAATCGACCAGTAACAAACCCCAGGGTAACTCGATCTGCACCTCTCGAGTTACGTTCACTCGATAGATTATTTTTAAAAAATCTAAATTACGCGCGCACTTACCGATCGTTTTGATCATCTCTAGATCATCGATGTCGTACTGTCCCGAGTCTTCCTGAGATCCTTCTTCATCAGAAGTTGTAGTATCCCCCGACATCCTCACCAATTAAATAAATCTCTCAATTCCAATCAATTCAGCTCAATCAATTCAATTCAAATACTCAACATCAATTTTCCCGATCTACACCATCAAGTCAATCATTTCCTCTATTCGATTTCCTTATCGTCACTTTCTCTTCACGATTACAGTATTTATCAATTGATCATCAACTCCATATCAATACCAATCGCTGATCCTTTTTATTTATTTAATTGTTCAACTACAATTTTCTTTTAGACTGTCCAGATTTTTTCCATAAAATCTCAAATTTAAATTCAACTCGCCGCACAGGTTCAACGCACGAAAACTAGTGTAACCCAGCTATAATTATCCCAAAACCACTCATAAACAAACTCATGAGACACGTGGTAATTCGAACAACTAGAGCAGTCCCTCAAAAAAAAATTGTCAAAAATTTTGGGTTTATGGGTCCGGTGTCACGGAACAAACTGTCGAGTCAGGGAAAATGTGAATCATATAACGCACGCCTCCGCTTTATTTATCCGTCCGCGGTAGATTGACGTGATTCAGATGCTCGGAGATACCATCACGATCACCAGGAAGACTTGGCACAACTCATCATCCTCTGGATCCCCTTCTACCTCCTTTTGTCTTGTTCTGTGTCTGCTCAGTCAACCCCAGGGGATTTTCTCCATCAGGGAATAACTAAACGGTAGAAATCGCAATGACCCGCAGGTGCGCAGGGGAAAGTTCCGTCTGGACTCGATTCTCTCGATTTTCTTTTTTTGTCTCGACACTCGGGTCAACAGAATTGAAAGCACTGGATGATTATAATTCGTGGATAATTTTATTTTTGGGGTTTTGATGGCTTTTATTTTTGGATTTTTTTTTTTCTGGTTTTAGAGATGGAGTTTTAGGCGATTGTCCGTTCAGGGAACGGACCTTCTCCGTAGCATCGCAGACGAGACTGGCCGGTTCGACGAAACTTCCGAGTCTGATCTCCAACTGGGCTCTTTCTCTCGCCCCACTCTTCATCAGTTTTGTGGAACTCGAGTCTCAGGTAAAAGATTTTTTAGGCTTATCAGGTTTTATCGGTTGTTGGGTATCGTTCACGGGAGGATCATCTCCTGGGATAAGTCGATTTAACTTTTTCAAGAGGTTTTCCTGGGATATCTTGGTAGCTGGAGCAGATAGCGAAATGTTGTAGAGAACTTTTTTGTAGCTTGTAATTGGATCTAGAAAAAAGGTAATAACGAAAATTTTGGTATCTGTCTTAGATTCCAAGATTTTCAGTGGAAACTGGAAAATAGCCGACGTTGACCTGGATTTTTTAGGTTTTTATGAGATTTGTGAGGATAGCGTGGAAACTAAGAGGAATAACGGCATTTTTGTGGATAACTTTTTTGTAGGCCGGAATTAGCTCTATAAAAAGGGTAATAACAAAAATTTCGGTATCTCCCTTAGATTTCTAAATTAAAGCAAAAAACCGTCTACCGCTCCACTCTTGAAGTACCCATGTTCAATTCCAAATATCTCCAGATACACCCGAAGAAATCAAATGAGCTCTATCTCATTCGGAAGATATTTTACCGGCCTTCAAAATGACACCAATCCCTTGAAAATCGGTTAATTTCTCAAAAAGATATACCAAATTGAATATAAAATCTCATTTAATCGCTTCAGGTTATTTATGAGTAAATAATCTCGAGGGTTTTTCATTTTAATTTTCATCCTGAGATTGTGAAAAAAATTGGGAAATATGGTCGAAGGGCTCTGTTGGATTCTCCACCCAAAATTCAAGAATAGTGGGGCTTATTTTTGAATTCTGGCATAAATCCAGATGCACTCACCCACCAGAGACATCACTCGCCCCCTAGAGTCTCATGACGCTCGTCTCCAAAAAATGTTCTCCTCCTCACCGAATCCCCTGACACGAGTAAAAATACAATACTTGGGGTCCCAAAATAATTTTAAAATACAGATTTCAATGAATGAAGAAAAATGAGTGATATGTGGAAGGTGGTAATGACGTGGTGCTTAAAAGATAGACCCGTCAACCCTCGAATATGAGAAACAGGAATCGTTCTAGTCACTTGTATCTACCCACGTGCCTGGGATTCAGCCAAAATCAACATGGGGTTCACTTGATTTCTGTGACAGATCCACGAAAACTACAATTTTTTAACACTAAATCAAGTTCGGAATTTATTCGTTCATATTTATCACCTGCAGGAGAAATTCAAAAATTCGATAAATCGATTAATAAATGGGGGAATTCCCTGAATTTCTGGGGAAAATTGCATTTTTTTATGGGAAAACTCCAATTATTTATCACTAAGTCAACAATTTCTTCATTTATTCATCAATATTTATTTAAAAAATGCAATTCCATGCTGAACACCTGAATATCACCTGCAGGAAAAACCCAAAAGTTCTGCATTTAGTTCAATCGATAAATCGATTAATAAATTGCAGGATTTCCTGAATTTCTAGAGAAAACAGCATTTTTGTTTTCAAGGAAAATCCGCATTTATTTACAGTAAAATCAATATTTTTTTTATTACCCTGCAATTCCTTGATGAACGTCACCTGAATATCACCTGCAGGAAAAATTCAAAAATTCTCGATTCACTCCAGTCGATAAATCGCAATTCGTATTTCTCGATTTTCCCGCGAAAATTCCTTTTTAAAAATGAAAAACTCCAGTTTTCCATTTCAATTCCAATCAACCCCTAAAAACAATGAAAATTTCAATTGTTAAAAAATCGATTGCGTGAGGAATTCCATGGAATACTGGATGATTCTCAGGAATTCGTCGCCTTGTCGTGATAAAGTCGGAAGAGCCATTATTTTTCCTGCGTTATAAAAAAAAAAATTTTAATGGATACTTGCACGTTGGCAACTATCATTTCTACCTCCTGTCTCGCTTATATCTTTTTTTCCTCCAAATAAACTTCACGTACGAGAATTAAAGGGGGGAGTACTCGGGTAATTTCGCGGTGTATGTAATACCCGCAACCACCCACAGACTCATGACAGACATTTCAATGGTTAACCGGTGAAAAAAATCCTTGCGGCGGGTTAATGCATCCCAGGAATTTATTATCTTCACTTACAGTAATTTTTTTTCATTCAAAATCATCTCGTTCCCTTAAATATTTCAATAATTACTCCAGTAATTTCCAATTTTTTACAAGAAGAACACCATAAAATTTATGTGACGTAACATAAATTCATTTTGATATCGCGTAATTTTTTGTTTGATGTTCTGGTGTTATTCTGATAACTATTGATTTTTTAAATAAATTTATCGTCAAATAATTTCTTGGAAAGAAGTCGGGGAAAATCTGTGGAACAATTAATTATTTTCAGGGCAAGGACTGAAAACGAATAACGAACTGAGAAAAATTTCTCATGGTTGCCTGACTAATCATTAGCAATCAATTATTTAATCTTGTGTGTCTGAAGGTCTTGGTGTTGGTGAGCCGTTAGCCTTCTCCAATCGTCGAACCAATAATGTATAACGACACCAATGAGCCTTCGGTATTCCTATTTCTCCCCTTCACAACAATAATTATAATTGTTGAGCATTCTGCGAATATTATTGCGCAAGATGTTCCGCAAGTCTTCAATTTTACTAGAAAAAAAACGCTTTTATAGTATTTCAGTAATAAAATTTGCGGGACTTTCCAAAATTAATGGAATGAAACTCGAAATTTTTAATTTCGTCGGAAATTCTCATTCGTTTTGAAAAATCCATAAAATTTGGGATTTGATGTCAATATTCAAAAGATAATATTATTAATAAAATTATTAATTGTTTCAATTAGTATTTTGAAAATATTCATAATTCTTTGGATATTTCCAAAAATAATCACAATCCCGAATTAAAAAAAACAGAAAAATAGAAAATTGTTGTAAACTCATGATAAATATCGATTAAAGATTCTAGAATATTCCGACAATTAATTCTAATCAAGAAGTTCAAGAAAATTGATATATATATCAGCATGTCTCAAATTCCTCAAAAAAGTCCGTGATATTTATTTAATTTTTATGTAGTCTCCGTACACTGAGAGAAAAATTTAGAAAATTATAACAAACCATTTGTTTGCGACAAAAAATTATTGCTTTTATGAAACTACATTTAAAGTTGAGACTATAAAATATAAATTGACTGCATCCTCAGGGATATTTCACCGAATACTAAAATCAAATTTGAATTCTTGCAAAAAAAAAAAACGACTAAAGTTCCTATTGAACTCCAAAATTTCAATAATTTTTTTAAACAAATTTATTCAATTCGTCTATTTATCAATTTCATTCGTTAGTTTAAACGTTTTTTTAAACTAAATTTCGTTCTCAGTGGAGATGAATAAAGAAAAAATTAGATATTGCCCGATATATTATATATTTTGAATATATTATTCCAGGGGAATGGTGTGTTGGACTCCCACGAGGCTCTGGGTCTTTTGCTCGGTCAAGTAATTATCCTTGCGGTTTCACCGGCAGTGAAGCGAGCACTGGCCACGGGATTTTGCCCTTGGAGGAAATACCTCGACGCCCTCATGCCATCGTCATATCCCAGGCAAAATTTTCATCATCTTCGAATGCTGTCTATCGACACCCGCACCTCTTCATGCGGGTGAACACCTCCAGGTGAGCCCAATCCTCCTATAAATAAAACATTTAGTCACTTTAAAAAATATTTTGCCCTATCAGAAAATTGGACAACCTTCAGAAGGAAATCCTGAAATTTTCTCCAGCAAGAAAAAAATATGAATTATTTGCAGTAACTTACGGGTTATAAAAAATTCAATTTTTCCTACATAAAACGTGTGACGAGTAATTTTTAAATGGTATACGAAATATGGAGTCATTAACGTCAAAGAAAATGGTCAAAAACCCGTTACATTCTCGCAATTTTCCCCTTTTTTCCCCCTCTTTTTCAAGAGTTCGTCAAAAGTTATTATCAAGATGATAATTCCACGATAATTAAAAATCATGGGCAGGGGGGGGAGGAGGGGAGTGACGAATGAAGACATTGCAACAAAATCTGAGAACCTCGCGTCAGCTTTCACCATTGTTCCTCATAAAAGTTCCTCCTCCACATAAAAAACCATATTTTTTTTTTTGCCTTCCCCTTTTATTGAGCGTAGCGGTACGGGTACTCGGTTCGTCGCAAAATACATAACTCCATGTGCCACGAGCGTGTAAATACCTTGTAACGGGGACCCGACTTGCGGAGAAAAGCCTGATACAAACGCCTGGAGTTGTCTATCTCGCAATCCCCACGTGTGTCACGTACCACACATATAAATTGTTGAAGTGGATTCCCATATCAAATGTTGCGTACGAGCCGACCCCCGCTGTTTCCGCGGGTGGAAATATCAACGCGGATAAATACAGTTTTCTATTCTGCATTGACAGAATTTTTTTTCTCATCAAAATTCAAATTTACCGCGTAAAAACTTAATTAATATATTTTAAAATTCGTTTTTTTTTGCACAGATATTCAAATTTGCCGCGTGAAAAAATGCTCTGCGTATAAATATATTTGGCAAATCCGTTGAAAAATTCATTTTTTTCTTATCAAAATTCAAATTTCCCGCGTGAAAAACATTTCGCGCCAAAATTCAAATTCAAAAATTCAAACCACATGATTAATTCAATCCCCAGAAAAGCTATCAAAACACATTAAATATTTATTTAACAAATTAAACTGCTAGCCAAAAAAAAAATTCGCGCGTTAAATAAATTCTGCATAAATCCTCCGCAAGTTCTCAATCGTTTCTAAATCTTCAGGGCCGGATTTTCACTCCAGTCGGTAGGAGTCATTATGTACTCTTCAACTTCACGTAAATATATACAACGAAGGGGGGGAAAGAGGGAGAGAGGGTATATGTGAAAAAAACAGATAAAGGTCCCACGGCGTTCCGTCCGGTCGCGCGTTTCCGCTCGCGTTTTCCAACCATCTGCCACGCAAAACGGCATTCGTACACATCTCCTGGGGAATAATATAATATACCAGAATATACCAGAATATACCAGAATATAACAGAATATAACAGAATATAACAGAATATAAAAGAATATAACAACCCAAGACCCGCGACCGCGTTCGTGCGTATCGCCCACACCCGGACCCCCATTCAACTTCCGCTCGTCTCTTCACTTGCGTTTTTTTTTTATTATTTTGTTGTTTAAACTTGTCTCGATTCAACGATTGTTCGCAATGAACGGGTTTAATGCCGCAGGCGGGGAAAAGGGTGAAGACAAGGTGAAATCACAGTTTGTTTTCAATTACAGGGGATTGGAAAAGACCCGTAATGAGAATTTTTTTATGAGATTAATTGGTGGGATTATTTCGAGGAAATGCTCTGTCATTATTTGACTCGTAACTCGGGAACGAATGGATTTAGAGGAAAACGTGAAAAGATATTGTTTATGGAAAATTGAATTTAAATATTTGGAAATATTTCCGAAATCGGAGGAGATACCAAAATTTTCGTGGTAACCTTTTTTGTAGCTCTCACTCATCCCCGCCTAATCGATCTTACCAAAAATTCTGCTATCTCCCTTATATTTCCAGATTTTATCTAAAAACTTGGAAATCCTCAAAACCAATTTTAACATTTCCACTTTCATTACATAAACGATCATAACTCCAAAACTAAGATAGCCATAAACATGTTCGTAGAACCTTTTCCACAGCTCTCAACGAGCCCTACAAAAAAGGTTCTACCCAAAATTTCCGTATCCCCCCTCATCCCAAAGATATCCCCAAAAAACCCCCAAAATCCCCAAAGCACCGAAAAATTCTCGCTAAAAAAATGATTAAAATTCAAAAAGAGGTGTACAACCCGCATAAAAAATCGTACATCATGTCAGAATGTGCAAAGAGTTCGTCAGGGTCGTGGATGGTAGGGAATATAATCCAGAAAGCGGAAGCGGGGCTTTCCGCATCGGTGGCTGTGAACAATGAGACCGCCAAGTTCACGGCACGAGGACTATCTTTTTCTCGTACATACGTTCACTCGTTTTACGCGAATTCCAACCTTCCCCTCCCCCCCTTTTCCTCCCACCATCATCCTGAAGATTCGCGTATATTTATTCTACGTGTGAAAAATTTTTTCCTACAACTCCATCTCCCTCTCGCCACTAACAATTTCCTGCAATTTTTCATTTTTTTCATCATTCGCTTGATTTTATTTTACAAAGAGAAAAAATGATCTACGCGGAATTATGGAATGAACTCGGGTGTAATATGATGAACGAAATGGGCATGCGATAAACCTCTGCACTTGGTAGAAAAGTGGTGCACATACGGAGTCGTAAAATATTGTTTCATGCTCGCAAGGCGTTTAATGCGTTTTGCAAACGTGGAACGAATGATTATACCAGAGTGATTACCACCTCTCGCATTCTCGATGGATAAAGGAGAATAGATCGGGGGAATGTCTAGCCAATTGTTTATCATAATTTTTAACAATTCCAGTTCATTTATTCCGCGTTAATTCAATCTCAAAATGAGTTCCTCCATAATTTCGCAAATATCTCCTAAATAAATATACATACAGAAATTTTCATATCAACCATTTGTGTAGGGCGTTTCGTGACCTTGAGAAATGATTTAATCAAAAATTTCGATATCTCCTCTCGTTTAGGAGCTAATCACGGAAAATCGTTCGATGTGCTAAAAAAAAATTTAAATATCCAATAAATACCGATTTCTTCATTCTAATTTAATTACCAAGCGAAATAAAATGAGTGATTGGATAAAATGTCACGAGTTGACATTAAAATCTCTTTCCTTTCTCCCCAGAATAGCCCACGTCGTAAAAATGACAAAAGAATTGCATTAACCAAAGAAATGAATTCGCTGAAATGAGTGATTCATCAGAAAAAATTTACCTTTTGTCCACTGGTGATTATCGATCTCATTGTTTCAACGATTTCCATTGACCAATCCTGCAACGGTAACCCGTGGATTGAGTGAAAATGTTCAACAGGTGGTTGGCAACAGGTACTCGAGGATTCATAATATGACTGATAGCTTCCAGGTACACCAGTTGTCTCCTCTCCAAGGGCATCGACTTTCCACACGAAGAGGACGTTCTTCCACCGAAGATAGATGATGATTATGATCCATGACGAATCCCCAAGTTTCATTTGATGAAGACGAAGCAGAATCTGATGAATTCCTCCACCTCATTTTCAAAACAAGAAGATACAAATATTCTTCCTGAGATTCCGGGACATCTCTCGTAGAATAATGATCAAGTACATCTACCCCAGGTAATTGAATTCCTCGTAAATATTCGGTTGAAAAGCTGCATAAACTCTTCCACAAGCTTTCTCCGATAAAATTCCCATCAAAATTAATGTTAATGATGTTATATATTATAGGAATCATCAAATGAATCAAGGGTTTCATGGTTGGACGGTGGAAATTAAATGAATTGGGAAACGACTGGAGTGATAAGAAACTGATGAGACTTACCTTGAGTACGGCATTAAACATCTCAATTAAAATGGGATGTTGATGAACCCTTGGAGATTGTTGGATTACGTCGTGTTGCCGGACGCTGTGTATGACACGGGAGCTCCACGGGACTGTTACATTAATCCCCCGTGAATTCTTCCAGTGCCATTGACAGTGTCCAAGCTGATGGAATCAATCAGGAGCACCAGGACTTGATTATGGATACATTAGCAGGTGCGTTCGAATAAACCGACTTTATCACGGGATATCTCGAGATCCAAAAGAGATATCGATTTAATGGTAATGACCTTTCCAGTGGAGAATTCCATCATCTCCAAAAGAGGTCATTACGAAAATTCTGTGGTTGCAATAGATTTCGAGAAATCCGCGAAAATCGAAATCAGGATGAATCCGGAAATATGAATTCAACTATCGCGACTTCCGCTCATTATATCTCGTGATCTAAAAGAGATATCGAAATGTTCGTTATGACCTTTTTGATAGACAATGCTCTCCTCTGCAAAACAATTCCCCACGAAAATTCTGTGTCTCCAATAGATACCGAGATATCCCCCAAACTTAAATGAAAATCATCAAACATTCCACCTCCACCTGCAGTTACCGAAGACTAAAACCTCCTCAGTGTCTCTCCCCACGTTCTCAATCTCCTCGAAACATCCTCTTCCCGGAAATGTCGAGTCCCAGCAATACCACAGTCCCTCCTCGCATCATCAACCCCTCGCAACTGTCCTCTGCTTCACGTTCCGTGACGCGAGCATTCCCACAGATCGAATCGTCAAGAACCTCAACACCATAGTCTCTCCTTCGAAAGCCCCCTGGACCGGATCAACAACCTCCATCCTCTCTATTCCCCCCTCTCCCCCCCGTCCCACTCCTCTTCCTCTAAAAATATTTCAACTTTATTTCATTCTCGCTGTGCCTCACTCGCCCTTTGATTCGTTCCAAATTACGCTGTAAGTGGTTCCCATGAAAAAAAAAAATCATAAAACCCATGACGATCCCAAAATCATTCCCCCAAAAATCCCACCCTTCCCCCATCAATAAACAAATAAATAAATAAATAAAACTGCCTAAAACAGCCAGAAACTCAACTAAAAAATTATTACCAAAACTGCATTCTTTAAAAATGTCAATCTTCCGATAAGAAAACGTCAATTAATCCCAAAAATCGGAGATAATCGACAATTTCCAGTGCTCGTGGTTTTTCCCGCTTTCCCCTGGGGGTGTGATACGGTGGGATAGGTGGAGTGGAGCGGAAAGGGGGAGGAAAAGGGGAGGAAAAGGGGCGGAAAAGGGGGGAGAGAACATTAGTCTTAGAAAACATTTTGGTCGAGAGATAAATAATAAAAAGAAGAAGAAAAAAAAAATATCTCTTAACTGCTGAAACTGGTTTGAAACGACCTCGCGACTTTTTTTCCACCTCTTCAGCGTTTCTGCCATCTCTCCCCTCTCCCTCCCCTCCTTCCTCCCCCTCGCCCCCCGTCCCCCTACCACCCACCACTGTTCGCTTCGCAGGTGCGCCCTTGATCCGTGTGTGCCCACGAGAACTGTGGGAATACCGATTCCACTTCCGTTTTTTTTTTTTTTCCTCCACCAGAATTTCTTTCTCAAAAAATTATCCCACCACCCCCACCACCCCCGCGAATTAATCAATTGAAATTTGAGTGATTGATGTTAATTTCTGGTGATTCTAGGTGGGAGTGAAGGGGACGTGATGCAAGAGATCTTGAAACAATGAGAGTAAAAGGAATTTATCGTGATGAAAGAGAAAAAGAGAAACAATCTCGAAAAGAAATGATAATATACAAGTCAGTTGTCACCCCATCGCCGGTGAATTTATCCTGTGATCTCGAAACTCCTGGCACGTACCTCGAGGAAGAGTTCGTCATCTCTTCAGTTCGTGTCTTGACTCAAAAATGGTCTTCCCACGTTGGAGACAGCATTGGTGAGTGGATTTTACTTGGTTTTAAGAATAATTCATCATCCCTGAATTACTCCAACATCTCCTCGTGGATTATATGTAACTTCGTGGGAATTACGTCATGCGTACGACGACCCGCGACTGTATCGCATCGATATTTATGTAACCGCACAACAAAATTCAATGACTCGCGATCGTCGATTTATCTCCAATGATAGTCAGTTAGGGTAGATAAATCTTACTCAGCATTTACTCGATTACGAGAACTCCCTAGATTAAATCAACCCCTAGAAGTCGTATTCCTCCAAGGATTTTTAACAATTAAATTAAAAATCGTAATTAACTCTCAAAACTAGGGAATCGCGTTGAAATCGTTAAAATCGTTAAAATAGCGTCGATTAGACTAAAAGAATTTCAAAGGATCGTCCATTTTATTTATAAATCGATCATAAAACTGGAGAGTAACTCACACCCTGACTCAAATCCAATAGATCCTATACCTCAAACTCTACCCGATGGGAAAAAAAATTAAACTACATGGAGAGACCAAAAAAAAAAAAACTGAACTGAACTCACTGGCGAACCGGTTGCTCCCAATGACGTGAGCCAACTGAACCTGCTGGCAGGCAGGTAACGCCAGGTAAACTATTCTACGTAGAAGTCCCGAGGAGCGGCATAAAGGAGGAAAAAGGTAATGGGAGAGAGGGATTTGTAGAGAATGAAGGAGAAGGGAGTGGAGGAGAGTGGGCATCGGTCCGTGGAACACACAGACTTTAGCTGGAGAGTCACTCGTCTGTGACTCGCCCCTCGTCCTAATGACTCCCCAGTGAGTCCAAAAGAGACAGAGCCATTCAATTATCATGCACCTGAGGAGGAACATCCTGATGATGGTGGGGGAAGACATGAGTCACTCAGGGGTGCCGGATAGACCAAACAAAATGGGCAAATGCCAGCTAATGGCTCTTGGTCTAGTCTCTTCTGGATCCTCTTTTGATGGCCTATTATTCTATCCTAGCCTGTGGTATCTTTTGGTATTTTATGGTATCTTTTGGTATCTTTTGGTATTTTATGGGATCTTCTGGTACTTCATGTCCAGACAAAAGAGTACAGTTATCATTTATTTTTGACTGAGCCATGGTGATTGATTGCTTTGGAATTGGAATGACTCTGACGATTGCTTGACGATTATTAGGTGAAGGGATGACGTGGACGTTCATTACGTAAAGAGGAAACGGAGCGTGACTCTTCAGGTGGAGTTTAATTGTCTCTTTCGTCTTCGAGGGGCTAATGATTTTTTTTATTTTATTTCGGTTAGTTCTTTTTTGGATTTTCTTGGGTTTAGGCTGCCACTTCCTTGTTGGTGTTGCGTTTTTCTAGTTCGGGCATGAGTCAAGCGCGACGAACGACCGATGAGGAACTCTCAGGTGGCAACAGGAAGAGATTTTTTCCTTTTTTCTTTTCCGTTTGGGAAAGAAATGGAGGAAAACATTTGGGAAATTATTGGAGGTCTTTTTGAGGAAGTCGGGATGCTATGTGATTTTTTTTTTTTTAGTTTCGATGACTTGAATGATTCTGAGTTTTTTGAAATTGATATGCACTTTTTAGTGCTGGGAATTCATTTGAAATTCCAATTTTGCGAGTTTTTGTACTATTTCTTCACAATGTGCGGGAAAGTCACTTTATTTTTAAATTATTTCTCGGGACATGGTGACGAAAAGGGATTTTTTGCATGTGTGATTATATGTTCGCAACTCGTGCAGAAACTGTATTCCGTAACAAGTGCGGAAAAGTGATTTTCGACGTGCGGCAATTTAGCAACATGAGCTGAAGGCAAGTGTATAATCCCACACGTCAAAAATCCCTTTCCGCACTCGTTACGAATAATATTTTTCCCCACACGTGCGGTAAAGTCACTTTACATTGAAGTTACTTTTCGACGCGTCGTGATGAAAAATTATTTTTGGCGTGTGGGAGGTTTATAGCTCAAGCCAAAGGTGAATGGCATAATCCCGCATGCCAAAAATCACTTTTCCGCACTTGTTACGAAATATACCATTTCACTCTTCTATATTGTTATTTTTTTTTTAAAAAAAAGGGTAAAAAATGTTGAAAATTGTTCTGAAATCATAATGTTCTCTCAATTCTCCATGCACCGATTCATAGGTGGATTTAACACGAGGATTGAGGGAGAATGTTGCCGGTAGGCTGAACCCGGTGTACCTAGCGCTCCACTAACTTTCAAATAAACTGAGTACGCTGACCCCTGGGTAGAAGACTCAACGGTGCGCATCAGGATATTTCTTCAGGGATTGATTCAGCTTTATACTTGCAGCATTGATCAATCCCATCTAATTAAACGCCTCGATAATTGTTCATTTAATTACCACCCGGTCAGGTACCTTCCAGAAATTTCAGCGTCATTTTTTTAAACTCTCACGATTGCTGGAGATCGAAACAAAGCAATCACTTGGGGGGTCAATGAACGGAATTGTAGCGTAACCCAGGGAAAAATAACTAGTTTGTACAAGTAATACATACCGTGTATGTGTGCTATTATGGATGGGAACTCGTGGGATCATCGGGGAGACTTTCGTCAATTCGGGGCTTTTCGTGGTGGAGGTTTCAATTTTTTTCTTTTGCGATTTTCGAAATGGAGTCATGAATCTCTGGGGAGGTGGGATAGAAGGATGGGGATGATTAGAATCCCAGGATTTTTTGAGCTAACTCCAGGAGTAATTGATGAGATTGGAGGAAACCTGGAGGAAAAACTCCAGGAGATGATGGAGGTGGTGGTCTTTGAGAATTTGAGATTGGAGAAATACGAAATGAAAATCATTCGATAAAAATGAAAATAAATTATTGGAATCTCCCTGGAGCCTTGATCTAAAGCTTTCTCCATTAGTTCCAAGACAAATCAACACGGCTTGAACAAACCCAGAGGAAAGAGCTCCAGGAGACGATGAAAATGGAATTCTACCAGAATTTGGGATTGGAGAAATAAAAAAGGGAAAACCATTGGATAAAAATGAAAATAAATTATTGGACTCTTCCTGGAGGCTTGACCTGAAGCTTTCTTCATTAGTTCCAGGACTAATTAACATGATTTGAAGAAATTCGGAGGAAAGAGCTCCAGGAGACGATGAAAATGGAATTCTTCGAGAATTTGGGATTGGAGAAATAAAAAAGGGAAAACAATTGGATAAAAATGAAAATAAATTATTGGACTCTTCCTGGAGGCTTGACCTGAAGCTTTCTTCATTAGTTCCAGGACTAATTAACATGATTTGAAGAAATTCGGTGGAAAGAACTCGAGGGGATGAAAAATGGTATTTTTCAGCAGTTGAAAAATGGTGAGTTGTTGGGTTTTGTTCTCCCTGATAGTGCGGCTCGTTGAGCGTGCCTTGTGGCCGTTTTGTTCACAGGCCACAGAGTATGCAGGTGCATTAACCGGGCATCCTAGAGGCGCCCAACACCGTAACGTATTTCATGGAGAACTTGAGAGCCTTGTGGGCTCGTGCTTGTGGATTTTCTCAGGGAAAACTCAGATATTTTTTTTTTTTTATTCGACAGATTCTGCAATTTGAAATTCCTCCGGCACTTGATGCTGATTGGACAGCAGATGGCGGAATTTATACGCGAAATATGCGGAGTCATTCGGTTGTGGAATTATTTGTGGCTTTTTTGCTTCAGGGACTTGAGGTGTTGTATCATGAGGCAAATTGAGTTGATGATGATCCAATTTGGGTGGGCGCCAGCAATTTATCCTACCAGGTGTCACGTTCTAATCTTCAAGACTGGAGTTATCAGTAATTACTGTAATTGATGAGATCATAATGAGAGTGCAATTGTTCCCGGGGGCTTTCCCAGGTCAAGTAGGAAAAATTCAATCGGTTTTTTACGAATAACTCCTAAACTACAGGAGATACCGAAATTTTTGTTGAGACCTTTTTCGTAGAGCTGATCGAAAGCCCCAAATAATCATCTCACCGAAATTTCGTTATCTCTCTTGCTTTCTCCGATATTCCAAAAAAACGCAGTGAAGTGGCGAAATCAAGCGAGTGAAGTTCGTTGGTCAGTTTTACGGTAATATCTTCTAAATTACAGGAGATAGAGAAATTTTTGATAAAATATTTTTTGTAGGGCTGGCGGAGAGCTCCGAAAAACCTCATTACGAAAAATGCATTATCTCTCGTAATTTTGGAGATATTTCCGAAATTCAATGAAACGCGGATATTTTAGTTAAACGATTGAAGCGTGAGAGTTTAAATCGATAAATGAAGTACTTGAAAAAAAAATTGAAGGAACGACTGGCGTGTGTCCGTACACCTCAGAACAGATGGTTAAGGACATTCGAGCATTTTATGGGAATATTTTTCCGTTTAAATACCTCTCCCTATTTTTAGTTGCACGTAAAACTTTTCATTTAAAACCCATTTGACCGCAGATTTCACTCATTTATTCATAAAAAAAAACATTAAACCCCGAATTATCAGTTGATTAATTGATACTCGACTCACCAATTACAATTACTTTAATTGTAGCAAAAGGGGTTTGAATTAATAATTTTTATCATTCGTAAAATTGGAAATCGACGATCTCTGAATGGAAAAAATGTTGAAAAATAATTAAATCAACAAATTCAATGATTTAAAATGTCAGGATTCACGATAAAATCATTCGCCCTTAATTCTCGAGAATTTTAATGTCAAAGGCGAATGGTTTGATCTTCAGATCACAATTTTATCCGACGAAATAAAAAATAAATGGGAATGAAATCCTCACGGGATTGAGTGATTGAGTTGCCAATCAAAAGACGAATGTTTACATTGATAAAATTTTATTTGGAATAGCGATGAAAGGACGAGAAGTGAACTGGAAGAAAGGGAATTGGTGAAGTGGGTCTGGGGACAGTCCGGAGATGTGACAACTCGATTCAAAATGGACATGACCTCGTGACCCGTCGGGTTCATCCCACCCTGGTGAGACGAGTCGACTATAACGGAAACCAGTTCCCCTGGAAAAGCGATTACCTGGTAAAAAAAAGGTAATAAAACATTCAAGTGGAGTTGCAAACATTGAAACTAGATGTTTCACTGAACGAGAGCCACTTTCAACCTCTTTTTGCACCAACTCTGAATTTTCCTGAGAAAACTTCGTGATTATTCCCCATCAAGTTCCTCTTTGTTTATGCTTTTCTAAATATTTATTTTTCCAATAATAATCCTTTTTTTTCATCATGAAATCCACTGGGAAATTTTTTTTATTCAACTCTCGGATTTGTTTCGTTCAGAAAATTTTGTCTGGGATGGAATTATTAATATTTATTGTTGTTCTTTTTTATTATTGCAATTTTACGGGAAATTTAATCGAGTCGTGGAATTTTCCGTGTTTTTTGGTTCACGTCCAATTTTCATGATGAGATTTCAATTTTTATTCTGCGATTTTGAGGAATTTTCTTCTATTTTTGACAGGATCACAGGAGAATTGAAGAAGTATCTTGTGTAATCAAACGATCCAAAATACAATAAACAAATTATTAGGATAGCAATAAAAAAACGAAAAGAAAAAATTGTACGCGTTGCTTCTGCATCGGTAAATGAAAAACGAACTTTTCGTTATTCACCCTGAAGCTCTTAAAATTCCCCTGGCATGTTCCCTCACCCTCTGGGAATTACCCCTAGAATCAGAGTGATGCACCGATGCACATTGATGTTGGCATTCGTCTTAGGAAGGGTAACAGGTGTTGAACGAGTGTTACGCGTTAGTTTTGCAGGTGCCAGGATGAAAAATATGAAAAGTTAGTCTCTGCAGGTGCACATTTATGCCCAAGTGCGTCTGGTTTTCCCAGTGAAAAGTGACGCCTCAATAAATTGATAATGAACAGAGAAAAAATGTATATTAATAAAAGTGGGAAAATTAAAATAATAAAGAGAGCCGTGGAGGGGCCGGAGATACGGCTCGGTGGATGGATTCGCTCTGCCGCATTTACGTACACCCCAACCCTTATTTCAATTCACAGAACCGGGGCAATCAACAGGAGAGAGTAATTAATTATTAAAATTTCAATAATGATAATGAGGGAGAAATTCAAGAGGGTTTCGCTCATTTCGCTGTTTTTTCAATCGTTTCGATCATTGATTTTACGTTTCTTTAAATTCCAAATGAAATTCAGAAATGGAAAAGTAAAAGTAAAAGTGAAATCAATCGAATCGGACACCAAATTAATTGATTGGAATTTAGTTATTCATTATAAATCAGTGGATTAATTAGATTAATTAGAAATGAAAGTTTAAAATTAAGAAACACAAGTCACAATGAAGGATTTTTAATTTATCTGAAGAATAATCATAAAAAATCGAATATCTTCCCGTAAAATTCTCAAATAAATCCCGATTTTCATAATTTTTAATATTAATTCGGTGTATTGTTTAAAAAAAACCGTGAAATCATCAATATATTTTGGTAAATTGATTCATCACGTTGAACTCTGTATTCCTTCTGTTTCCAGGTGGATAAATTGAAATCCCCGAGATTAGATTTTCCAACCGAAGAAAATGCTGAGCTACCGATGCCCATCAACCATACGGTTCATTCCCCCATCCTCTGGGTCTCATAAAACACGTTTTAAAACGCATGAAAGGTGAGAGAAGAAGCCAGTGTTGCAGAGTGCCGCTGTTAGCGCATCACACTATGACTAATTACGTAAAACTGGAAGTTACCGAGACCAAGTCATTGTCTCCCAATCTCATCCATCTCCCTCCTTCCTCCCCCCCCCAGGTAATCCATTTTTTAATTTAAAAAAATCACAAAACCATAAAAAAAAAACCTCCATCGGACGATTATCATCCAATTAATTCAGCAATTAATTACTCACTTTATTTATTACTCCATTCACTGACTTTCCCAGAAATCTATTGTTGCATCAAATCCCCCCATTCATCAGCGAAAATAATAACTTTATTGTTGACATGTTAATAAATCAATCGACGATTAATTCTCCAGAATATTTACACAATACTTCAATAAATTCTCGTAAGTCTCTACGATTTAATTTCCTAATCAATTATTCGTGAAAAATATGAAACGCGTATCATTTTATTTATTTTATTTTATGACATTTATAATAAAAATCATTAGATAAAAAGCTGATTTTTATTTAATGATAAAAATATAATCCAACAACGTTTCCCTCAGAAAAAAAAATGTATCAGTTACTCGACAGTAATTAATTAGTCCCCTCTAATTATCTTGTGAGAATTGAACTGAACATTGCGGTGTGTTGCAAACAAAATATTCTTTGTTAAACAATAATCCTCGTGGGGCAAGGGAGGAGGGGAGGAGGAGGGGTAAATAGCATTGGAAGAGTTGGATAAATGCGGAAGACAGGCGCGACATCCTGTAGGTGATGTTGTCGCACTAGAGCTCATCTTCCCCTTCATTCCTTCTTTCTCCGTGCCTCTTTGAATTTACGCTCCGGTGATTTAACACACCGTAACGCCGATTTCGTGCTGAACTTGAAATGAAATAAAAAAAGAGGGCTTCCTTTCTTTCCAGAGTGTTGGCTCATTTAGAAACGAAAGAGTTTTGATCTGCTGGAAAGATAATATCATGATTGCGCTTGACTGTTTGAGGAACGAGGAGACAAATATCCGCTTTTATTTTTCGATTCTCGGAAATAATTTATTTTTATTTTTTTTTTAATGTAGGGAGTGATTGTACCGACAGGAATTCTTGTATTGAGTCTATATATTTGGTAATAAAAATTGTTATTGTTTTTTAATGGTATTTTTTATTTAATTCATGGAGTTATATGATTTTTTCCGCCATTTTTGATGTTGGAAAGGCGGCTGACGAAATGGCGGAGCGACCGGCCCATTGGCCGATGTAATACAAAAAAAAAATGGGTTACTCTTCACATCTTCTGTGATCCTGTTACAAAACTCCGGTTTATTCAAATTTGTGAAGTGACCGGGAATTCTGGGTAATTTTGTTCTATTTTTAACAGGATCATAGAAGGACTGAAGAGGTATCTTGTGGAATTGTACAAGACAAAATCCAGAAATATGTATCAGGATAGCAGGAGAACCGAAGAGGTATTTTATGTCATTCAAAGAGACAAGATAAAAGAAAATGTAACAGGATAACAGAAGAATTGAAGAGATATTTTATGGAATTGAGCAAGACAAAAAATGTAACAGGAGCACAGGAGAATTCAAAAGGTTTCTTATGGAATTAAACAAGACGAAATAAAAAAATAATAGGATAACAGGAGAATCCAAAAGGTATCGTGTAATAAAAGAAGTCAAAATGAATAATAATCATGAGTAATTCAATATCTCTCTCCCCGATGCCGAAATAAATCCCCATTTCCACAATTTTCAATGTCTTCTGTATTTTTAACTATTTTCATAGCAAACTCATCCCATTGGAAGAAGAAATTCCGTTCCGGGGATTTTAATCACTCTCAGTGATAATTACTGAGAGGAAGTGGTGCGATGCCGACGAACCGGAGGAGCGATCCCTCGAAATAGAATAGTCCCAAGCCAGTTCTATTTTTATGAAATGCCCCCTCTCGCCATTGAAATTTTTCGTGGCTACACATGAACCCGAAGGATGAACGTCTTACTCAGCCACTTCAGGTTCAGGTTTTTTTTTTTTTCCTCAGATACAAATGCCACACACGAAACTCCAACGTGCAATGTCAGCGCGAAGCAGTTGGTGTTCGGTTCGTTGGTCTCGGTCTCAATTTTTCATAAAAAAAAAAATAATAATTCAGCATTAGCAACAAATATAATGAAGAAATAATGGAGGGAAAAATGTGAGCTACAAGTTCTCTACCATAGGCAGACTAACGATTATTCACGCCAAGAACTGTAATCTTTGGGTTTGTACATTTGTTTAAAATAAGCCTTGATAATTAGTTACGCCAGGTAGATTTTCTGGGAAGATTGGGAATTATGAGAGCTTGACGAGCAGACTAAAATTCAATTACACGTTTTCTGATGATTTTTTTTCCGAGCGAAAAATCGCTTTTTATCTCTTATTTGCATGAACGAAATATTAACATAAACGAAATATTTTTTCATCGCACAATTATGCTCTCTCAAAGCGACTCTCGTAATTGAAAAATTTATTTGACATTTAATTCCGTCAAAAATGATTGAAATAATTGTTAACAAAATAGTTTTCACAGAAGAATATTTACAATATTCCAATTTACCTTAAAAAATTATTTCTCTGTATTTTCTAATTGTTTATATTAAAAAGATACAAGATTTCGTGATCCGTCAAACAATTAATTGTTTTTCTGAATGAAATCTTGAATATTTCAATGAATTTTGCACAAGTGAGGGTCCATTATTAAAATGTTTAATAAAACAATTTGAACATGCGCAGAAGATCGTCAGTGATTGGTCGGTTGAAGGGGATGAAAGCACTGAAATCCCTAGATGACGACTAGATGAAAAACCCAACCCACCAGACAACTCCAAACCTGTCAAAATCCTCGAGACTTAACCTTTGACCGTGAATTAACCCCGATCAATTATTTTTATGCGTTTTATCCTGATCATCCTGAGTATACCGACACCAATGAAGATGTGGACACCTGATAGGACAATAGTGTTGCTGCTGTTGGTGGGTTTGATGGGATTTTTCAGAGGAATTGATGGAGCATCAGCACACATTCACACACACCAGCACAACAAAGCTGGTGGTAACGAGAGGACACAGGATGGGGCATTCAGTCCAAGAGACAGTGATCACTACGTCGATGGTGAGCATCACGAGGAATTTGATCATGAAGCGATTCTTGGAAGTGTCAGAGAAGCTGAGGAGTTTCACCATCTGCCCATTGACGAGTCCAAAAGACGACTGAAGATTCTTCTGGACAAAATGGATCTGAATAAAGATGGATTCATCGAGAGGAACGAGTTAAAGGCCTGGATTCTCAGGTCATTCAGTATGTTATCAGCTGAGGAGTCGAAAGATCGTCTGGAAGATGCTGATACCAACGACGATGGGAAGATAAGTTGGGAAGAGATCCTCCATGACACGTATGGGTCAGATCCAGAGGATCTGGCTATCGATGAGAAGCTCGTTAGTGATGACAAGGCGACTTTCGAGGCTGCAGACCTGGACAAGGATGGATTACTCGATTCTGAGGAGTTCAAGGCTTATACGCACCCTGAGGAGACACCCAGGATGTTTCCTCTTCTGCTGGAGCAGTCACTCACTGAGAAAGACAGTGACAACGATGGATTCATCAGTTTTCAGGAGTTCCTGGGGTCCAGGGCGAGGAATGAGGACAAGGAATGGCTTCTCGTTGAGAAGGAGAAGTTCGATCATGAGCATGATAAAAATGGAGATGGCAAACTCGATTCTGGGGAGATATTGGCCTGGCTAGTCCCTAGCAATGAGTAATTATCAAATTTTATCAATTTTATCCTCTAAAAAAATTATGCGTCTATTGAATTCTGGATTTTTTTGATTATTAATCGATAGAATTATTATTTGAGCATGGAATTTAATTAATTAGAGAAATGTGACGGTCATTTTCATATTTTTTACCTAGGGATTTGGCTACGGATGAAGTGGATCATCTGTTCGCAGCCTCTGATGATGATCATGACAATCGCTTGTCTTACGACGAAATCCTGGAGCATCACGACGTATTCGTGGGAAGTGAAGCGACAGATTATGGAGATTATCTTCAAGACATCGAGCGTTTCACTGACGAGCTTTGAAATTTATTTAGAAAATGGTTGATTCAAAAATTCACGAGTCGTCGACGTGTCAATCGCAATCGCAAATGCCTCAAGGCTTTCCTCATCTTCTTCGACGGCTGTCTCCTCTCCTTCATTTATAATATTGTCTTATTTCTTTACGTGTGTAGGTAAAAGTCTTTTTTTTTTATCCACTCGGTTTAAATTGCACAAATTCATGAACAAAAACAATTGTCACAAATTGTTAATAATTATTTTATTGGTATGAGAATTTAGGGGTTAGGCACTCGTCAATTTGCACTGTCTTCCAGTCGATGATTTAGTCGTCTCGTGAAAAATAAGGGAAGGGCAATTATTTTTCAACGTTTTTTCATTGTTTAATCATTTTTCGTTAATTAGTGCCCCAGAAGAGAGTGTAATTATTAATTATGTGCCATCGTTGTTTTATTACTTAACGAATTCATCGAGAATCGAGAGAATTTTGTGGAATCGTCGAATGAGACTTATCACTCTCATAAGTTAATTATTTATTTAATTAAGAGTGTTTAATAATTACTGGTGTAATTTGTATAACTTATGGTGTATGAAACAGTCACTTCATAGAATGTAAATCTTTTGGACTGAATAATAATTTCACGTGATAAGAATGTTTATCTTAATATTTATGAATAAAATTGAGGTGCAACAATATCATTTCAAACTGGTGGGAACATTCTAGGGTTTTTTGGAGGCGCGTGCGCACTGGGCATTCGAGAAATAAAATCGAATCGACGTTTTGTTGCTGAATAACGAGTAATTAACGGAATAAAGTGAAAATAAATGGTTAATAAATGATAATTTGATGTAAAATTTGTCAAAATGCCTTATGCCAATCAACCGTCGGTTCATATCAGCGATTTGAATGAGGAAAATGTCAAATTCCAGGTGGAGGACACGGAATTGAGGTTAGAAACTCAAATAATCACAAACAAAACAAATAATAATCGATTTTCAATTATTTATAACAATTTAGATATACATAATGAACGAATTGTTTAATTGAAATAATTTTTTTAGCGTTGCAAATAGTATGAGGCGAGTTTTCATCGCTGAAACTCCAACTCTGGCAATCGATTGGGTCCAATTGGAAGCGAATTCAACAGTTCTGAGTGACGAATTCCTGGCCCACAGAATCGGAATGATTCCCTTGATCAGTGATGATGTTGTTGATAAAATCCAGTACTCCAGGGACTGCTCTTGCATGGATTTTTGTCCTGAATGCAGTGTGGAATTCACTCTAGACGTTAAATGCTCGGAGGAACAGACGAGACACGTCTCGACTGCTGATCTCAAATCCAGTGATCCCAGGGTCCTGCCAGTCACCTCGAGACACAGAGAAGATGATGCCAGTGAATATGGCGAGACTGATGGTAATTAAATAAAAATTATCTTCTAAATTAATTCCAGCATTTAGAAATATTCCTCGACAACTTGTCAGCCAGTTCAATCAACTTGTGAATTATTAATCCAGGGAGGATTTATCCATTTTCTAATTAATAAATCACATGTTTTTATTCATTTTGGGGTGTTGTTGATTGTTGTTACAGAGATATTGATTGTCAAGCTGAGGAAAGGGCAGGAATTGAAGCTGAGAGCGTACGCAAAGAAAGGATTTGGTAAGGAGCATGCAAAATGGAATCCCACAGCTGGCGTTTGCTTCGAATACGATCCTGACAATACAATGCGTCACACCCTCTTCCCCAAACCCGACGAGTGGCCAAAATCCGAGTATAGTGAGCTCGAGGAAGATCAATGTACGTAAACAACAAAAAAATCATTTCTCAATATTCTAAACTATCGATAACTGATTGTTTTCAATTGTTCAGTCGAAGCTCCATTCAACTGGGAGGCAAAACCCAACAAGTACTTCTTCAACGTCGAGAGCAGTGGAGCCCTAAAACCTGAAAATATCGTCATGATGGGAATAGCTGCATTGAAAAATAAATTATCTAATCTGCAGACGCAATTGAGCCACGAGGCACAGAGTGATGCCCTCAGTATTCATCATTAGTCACGATCAAGATGTTTTTCGTATTGCAATTGACGTAAAATAAATTACTCCAGGATCTTTCATAATTTCGATGATTTTTTAACAGATAATTAATTAAAACATTATTTTTTAAACGTCAAGATTTTTTTTTGCTGTCAGTTGGTACCGGAAATTGGACTCCCGCCTAATCTAGGAACTTTTTCTCCCCCAAATTGAAAAAATTCGAGAACATGGCGGATGTCCAGTAGTTTGACAATGTTGTTGTTGTTACTGACGTGAACAAATATCAATTCTACTCATTCGAAAATCGATAACTAGGATTATTGAGAATGTTGAAATAGTCCAGGACAATCCAGGATGTTTATCAAGCAGGTGAGAATCCTATAATCACAGGATTTACAGACAAAATTTTTTGGAGTTCCACCCATCGACAAAAAGACGCTTTCTTTATTCTCAACAATTGAATAATCACCAGAGCATGGATTTTCACTGGAAATACAAGAATTTTTACGAGAGAATTCGCCGATAATATTCTCAATACCTCAAATTAAATTGTCATTCAAATCATCTCAGAAGATTGAGGTTATGATTCTAAAAAATATTAATATAAAAATATTAATCTCAATCAATTCGAAAACATTTTCATCTCATTCTAGTTCTCGAGAGAATTCTTACAATCCCAATGAGATAAAAAATATTCCAGTTAATAATATATATAATTTATTATCTCCAGGTAATTATTCAGGGATTCAAGTCCTACAGAGAGCAAACAGTTGTGGAGCCATTCGATCCAAGACACAACGTGGTGGTAGGTCGAAATGGATCCGGCAAGAGTAATTTCTTCTACGCAATTCAATTCGTCCTCTCCGACGAGTTCTCCCACCTCCGTCCAGACCAGCGTCAGGGTCTCCTGCACGAGGGTACAGGACCCCGGGTGATATCAGCACACGTGGAGATAATCTTCGACAACTCCGACGGTCGTCTGCCGATCGACAAGGATGAGGTGTACCTACGTCGTGTAATCGGTTCAAAAAAGGACCAGTACTTCCTGAACAAGAAAAACGTTACGAGATCGGACGTGATGAATCTCCTGGAGTCAGCAGGTTTCTCCCGTTCGAACCCCTACTACATCGTGAAGCAGGGAAAAATCAATCAGATGGCAACAGCCCCTGACTCCCAACGTCTGAAGCTTCTCCGAGAGGTGGCAGGTACTCGTGTCTACGACGATCGTCGTGAGGAGTCCAAATCGATCCTCAAAGAGACCGAAGGAAAACTCGAGAAGATCGACGACTTCCTGAGGACGATTGAGGAGCGTCTCCAGACGCTGAAGGAGGAGAAGGAGGAGCTTAAGGAGTATCAACGGTGGGACAAGCAGAGACGTTGTCTCGAGTACACGATTCACGAGCGTGAGCTGAAGGATAATAAACGAAAGCTGGAGGATCTCGAGGCATCGAGAGCCAACAGCGGTGCAGAGCAGGCACGTCTCGGTGCCGAGGCTAAAACAGCTCAGGAAAATGTTAGATCTGCCTCGAAACGCCTGAAGGAAGCCAAGAAAGAAGTGCAGAGTGCTAAGGAGGAGAGGGACACCCTGAGTGCCGAGCAGCAGCAGTTGCTCAAGGAGAAGACTAAACTCACACTGACAATCAACGATCTTCTTGAAGAAGTCAAGGGTGACAATGACAGCAGAAAGAGAGCGCAACAGGAGTTGGAGAAGCTCAAAGAGAATATTGCCCTGAGGGAGAAGGAGCTGGAGAAAATACGCCCTGAGTACGAGGAGATGAAGAGGAGGGAGGAGGAGTATACCAGGGCGATGGCACTCAAGGAGCAGAAGAGGAAGGAGTTGTATGCTAAACAGGGTAGAGGATCACAATTCACCAGTAAAGATGACAGAGACAAGTGGATTCAGAATGAGCTCAAACAGCTGACCAAGCAGATAAAGGATAAAGAGGATCATCAGAAAAAAATCAGTGAGGATTTAAAAAAAGATGGTGAGAAGCAGAAGGATCTTGAGAAGAAGATCGAGGAGTACACGAAGGAAATGGAGAAGCAGAGGGCGTCTATTGACGAGCATAACAAACATTATTACGAATTGACGAAACAGAAAGACGCCTGTCAGGCCCAGAGGAAGGAGCAGTACAGAAAAGAGAGTGTTTTACAGTTAAATTTATCAGGACTGAAGGAAGATCTGGCTAAAGCTGATCAGAGTCTCAGGTCGATGGCTGGTAAACCCATTCTCAATGGGCGGGATTCTGTCAGAAGAGTTCTGGAGACATTCAAAGAACGACCTGACATGGCCCACGAGGTGAACTCTTATTATGGGCCTGTTATCGAGAATTTTGATTGCGATAAAAGTGTTTATATGGCTGTGGAGGTGACTGCTGGTAACAGATTGTTCCATCACATCGTTGAGACTGATAAATTCGGTACGAAGATCCTCAAGGAGATGAACAATCAGAGACTGCCTGGAGAAGTGACTTTTATGCCACTCAATCGTCTTCATGTCAAGATCATTGATTATCCTGACACGAGTGACGCCATCCCCATGATCTCGAAACTCAATTATGATTCTAAATATGACAGGGCGATGAGGTACATCTTTGGGAAGACACTTATATGCAGAAACTTGGAGGCTGCCACAAATCTTGCGAGGACATCTGGTCTGGATTGTGTGACACTCGAGGGTGATCAGGTGTCGTCAAAGGGTTCACTCACTGGTGGTTATTTCAATACTCTGAGATCGAGGCTGGAGATCCAGAAGACGAGATCAGAGCTGATGGCACAGATTGCCACGATGGAGAACGAGTTGTCGACACTCAGGGAGGAAATCAAGAAAGCTGATCAGAATATATCGTCGTACGTCAGTGAAATGCAGAGGACAGAGACGAAGAACAGTAAAGCGAAGGATATATATGATAAGATGAAGGCGGAGATCAGGTTGATGAAGGAGGAGTTGTCGGCTATTGAGAGGTATAGGACTCCAAAGGAGAGGAGTTTGGCGCAGTGCACGTCGAATCTCGAGGCAATGAGGGCGACCAAAGAGGGTCTCGAGAGTGAACTCCATCAGGATTTAATGGCTCAGCTGTCGGTGGCTGATCAGCGACAGGTTGATACCCTCAATGATGAAATCAGAACCCTGACGAAGGAGAATAAAGAGGCGTTTGCTAAACGTATGAGGCTCGAAGCTGAAAAGAATAAGTTAGAGAATCTTCTCACTAATAATCTTCATCGTAGGAAGGATGAGCTCGTTCAGGCACTCCAGGAGATATCGGTTGAGGACAGGCAGAGACAGCTGGAGACGTGCAAAGCACAGCTGTCGGATATTGAGAAGAGATTGGTCAAGGTCAACAGTGATTTTAAGTCTATGAATGAAAGGGTTAGTAGTGCTACGAAAAAACAGAAGGCTGAGTCTGCGGAGGTTGAGAAATGGAAGAGCAAGGAGAAAGAGGTCCAGGAGAAAATCGAGTCTGATGCCAAGGATCTTGAGAAACTCGCAAGTAAACAGAATATTCTTCAGCAGAAAATCACCGAGTGCACGCAGAAGATCACTGAACTTGGGGCTCTACCATCACCTGAGGCGTATGAAAAATTTGGAAATATGTCCACCAAGCAGCTCTTCAAGGAGATGGAGAAGGCTAATAATCAGTTGAAGAAGTACAGTCATGTTAACAAGAAGGCGTTGGATCAGTTTATGTCATTCAGCGATCAGAAGGAGAAATTGGTGAAGAGGAAGGAGGAGCTCGACAGAGGGGATGAGAAGATCAAGGAACTCATGAACGTCTTGGAGATGAGAAAGTGCGAGGCCATTCAGTTCACCTTCAAACAAGTCAGCAAGTACTTCAGTGAAGTATTTAAGAAACTCGTGCCAACAGGACATGCACAGCTCGTTATGAAAACAGCTGATGGAGAAGAAGGGGATGATGATACCTCCACTGCTGCTGATTCTGATAGATTCATTGGTGTTGGCATCAGGGTATCGTTCACTGGGCAAAAAGCTGAGATGAGGGAGATGAATCAATTATCTGGTGGACAGAAGTCACTTGTTGCTCTTGCTTTGATTTTTGCCATTCAGAAATGCGATCCAGCGCCTTTTTATCTGTTTGATGAGATCGATCAGGCACTCGATGCACAACACAGAAAAGCTGTTGCTGATATGATCCATGAGTTAAGCTCTGATGCACAATTCATCACCACGACTTTCAGACCTGAGCTACTGCAGCATGCCAATAAATTTTATGGTGTTAAATTCAGAAATAAAGTCTCTCACGTCGAGTGTGTCACCAGGGAAGAAGCAGCTGATTTCGTTGAGGATGACACTACACACGGATAAAAAACATTATTGCCCATATTTATTTTTATTATGACGAAAAATTGGTTATCTATTTCAGATAGTTTTTTCTGTATTGAATTTGTAGAGATTCTGTCAATTCATTTGCTCTCGTCTTTGTAATTTTGAAGGAGGTGACAATTTTGCAAGAAATAAAATTTTAAGAATTTAGGAAATGCAGGTTTAGTTTTATTTATTTATCCTGAATTACGAGGGGGAGAGAATAATTTGAATAATTTGAAGCGGAAGTGGATGAAGTGGCAGCGCTGCACCCGGAAATCCTGTCGTTCTTCCAGATTTTTATAGATTCCCGCTCTTTTAGTGTTCCAAGAACCGGCAGAGTGGAGAGAGGGAATCTCCTTCAAAATGCATATTAAAAAGGTTTTTTTTTTGTTTTATCCCTCGTTTTGTGGTCGTTTTTGCCATCGAATGGGTTTTTCATGTTTTTTTGACTGGATAATGTTTTATTCGTCTTTTCAGATCGTCATTGAGAATTTCAAATGCTACAAGGGCCGGCATGTTTTCGATGGATTCCATCGAGGACATAATGCTATAGGTTTGTGACAATTGACAATTAAAAATACATGAGTACAAATTTATTAAACAATTCTGTCATCAAGTAGTAAAGATTCATTCTACACGATTTATGTTTTGTGAAATATCTCCGAATCTGAAAGAAATACTGAAATTTGTGATAAAACCTTTTCTTTAGATCTCATTACGTTCCATGAAAAAGGTCCTATAAAAAATTTCACTATCTCCCTTAAATCCAGAGATATTTCCCGAAAACTGGAAGGTTGTCAATGCACTCTGAATTATTTCGATGATAACGATAACTAATTAACACACTGATAATTTTGATAACTCTTTTCAGTCGGTTTCAACGGTTCGGGTAAGAGTAGTCTCCTGGAGACGATCAGCTTCGTGCTGAGTAATCGGTACTATCCGATTACTATGAGCCAGAGGACTTCAGTGATCAACGATAATCCAGAAAATGTCACGCGTTCAGCCTCAGTGGAGATAATTCTCTCCAACGAGGACAACGTGCTCCCAGTGGATGCCCCATTGGTTCGAATTCGCAGGGAGATCTCCCGAGAGTTCAATCGTATTCTCATCAACAACGAGAGCTTTTCTCCTCCTGAATTCTTTCAGCTTTTCTCTGCTCTCGTCCCCAAGGAGAATCCCTACTACATCGTATGCCAGGACGAAGTGACTCAGTTGGCGACCGGTCCTGACTCTCTCAGGTCAGTCATAAATCGGTTTTTATTCATTTTTTATTTTTCTCGTCCACTCATCAGTCAGAAATACATTTTAAAAGCGAACTGGAAGAGGAAAACATTTCCAACAAAATATCTCCGAATTTAAGGGAGATATCAAAATTATCATCCAATTCTTTTTTATAGTTCTCAATCAGCTCTAGAGAAAAGATTTTAACAGAAATTTCGTTATTTATCATACTTTCGGAGTTATTCTCAAAAAACCGAGGAAAAAATGACCCCAAATGTTTGGCCTCCAGGTTCCAGGTGATCTCCACAGCAATTGGAGTCCACGAGTTCGACGAGGGTCTCGCCGAGCTCCTCTCTGAGATCTCCAAAAAAAGTGAATTCCTAGCGCGAAAGACAAACGAGATGGAAGACCTCAAGAAAATGCTCACGGATTTGACAAGAAAATACAACACCTTCCACAAGATAAACAAGACAAAGCGGTACCTGGAGCACCAGCTCTGCCAGTTGAGCATCCGCAAGATGAAATCAGAGCTCTCAAAGATGGAGGAACCTTATGAAAAAGAGCTCCTGAAGGCTGAGACCCTGAAGACAACCCTGGAGGGAGTGACCGCCGAGTGGCAGGCCCTAAAAAACGAAGCGCGATCGATCCAGGATGAGATAGACCTCCAGAAGAAGCTCGAGAAAAAATTTACAACCGAAGACATCGGTCTCACCCAGAGCCTCCACTCCCTGAACCGCGAGGAAATTCAAATCCAGGAGAAACTCCAAGGGCTGGAGTCCGGAGAGCTCGAGAGTTTCGATAAAAAACACGAGAATCTCCTCACCAGGATATCAGAACTCGAGGAGAACTCCAGGGATATCGAGAAAGACCTCCTGGCAGCAAGAGAGACAGAGGAGAAATCCTCTCGAGAGACAGAACGCCATGAGTACCAGCTGCTGGGACTCTTCAGGAAGAAGACAATCCTGGAGAAATTAAGGGATGGCGATCACGACATGAGTGAGATTCTCCCAAGAGGTTCACAGCTGGAGAGAACTATTCGAGAGGAAGAGGAGCAGGTGCACCAGGAGGAGATCCAAGTGAACAAAACGTTCGCCAAGAAGACGAGCGTTGAAAAAAACCTTGGGGATTTGAGGAATAAATTGAACGAGAAGAAGTTACAGCTTCGAGATGATAAAAAGAGGAAGGAAGAGCTCCTGAAGGCTAGGGAGGACCTCCTGGGTGTGAGGAAGGAGCAGCAGAGAGAGGCAGCTAAGATGCGCGATGAAATAGAAGCCCTGACGAGTAGAATTGACACGATAAAAAGAAAACTGCGGTCAGTGGTACGAGGGGATGTCCTCGAAGGGATTGAATCGGTCAGGAAAGTCCTGAATGCTTGGAGAGAGAGAGATGACAGGCTTGATCTTATCAATGGGGTCATGGGAATTCTCCTGGAGGGATTCACCTGCACAGAACCTGCGGTGGCATTTGCTGCTGAGGTCAGAGCTGGGGAGCGTATGTTCCATCATGTCGTGAGGAACAGGAAGGTCATCTCCGAGGTTCTGAACGAAATAACTGAGAGAAAGCTTGGAGGAATCGTTTGCTTCATACCCCTGGAGGATGTGGAGCAGAGGAACTTCAGGTATCCTGAGAATTTATCCTGTAAGTCGATGATTTCATTTCTGGAACCGAGGGAGGAATTTCAGAAAGCTGTGGATTTTGTTTTTGGTAGTTCTGTTATCGTCAAGAATTTGGAAGTGGGTGTCGCTGTTGGCAGGGAGTATGGCCTCCAGGCGATTACTCTTGATGGACAGCAGGTCCTGGGGAAGGGGAAATTCAAGGGTGGATATAGGAACAGGAATTTCTCCAGGGTGGAACTTTATAGAGAGTACAGCAGTGCTAGGGAGAAACTTGATGATCTCACGAGGGAATACAGGCATCAGATGTATTCTGTCCAGAGGATCGAGGAGGAGCTCGTCCCTGTGATGAATCAACTCCAGGAGATCAATGTGAAGATCCAGGCCTCTGGTCAGAATATCACGGAGCTCCAGGTTCACGTAGCAGAGGCTTCTATCTCTCTGGAGTCCATTGAAAAATCTTATTTCCCCTTGAAGAGGATTTTGGATGACTCCAGGATGAGACTTGACGAATCCAGAGGCACACGAGTTGAGATGGAACACCTGCAGGAAATGCCGATTGAAGAGGTCGAGGAAGAGATCCAGAGACTCCAGGGGGAGTCCTCAGAGCTGGAAAAGCAGAAAAGACAGGCGACTGAATTGATTCCTCACCTGGAGGGGAGACTGAGAGGAACTAGGGAGCATTTATCTCATCTTCAGGAGGACAGAGAGAAGCTCGAGGAGTCGACGATGGAATATTCAACAGAATTCCTCCAGGAACGTCTCGTTCTTGTCAGACAGGACCAGAAGAAGTGCAAGGAAAATCTGAAGGAAGTGAGCAAGGAGCTCCAGGAGATTCGTTCCAAGATTATTGAATTCTCGGAGCAGCTGCCTCCCTTGGAGAGAAATCTGATAAAACTGAGTATGAAGAGGGACAGCGCCCTGATGACCTGGGAAGCCGCCAAGGAGGACGTGGAGACGATGCAGTCCCAGGTGAATTCTCTGGAGGAGAAAGTGAAGGAGTGGGAGGAGAGGGCAGGCAACCTCGGGCCCATTCCCAGGATTCCGAATTCCAGGATCTTTGATAATCTGGGGGAAAAATCCCTGGAGAAGAGGATGAAGGATCTGAGAAAGGAGGAGGATCGACTGGGGCCTGTGAATCCTAATGTCAAGGTCAGAATGCAGGAGCTGGAGGAGGAGTTGAGATTTCTGGAGACTCTGATGGAGACGGAGGAGGAGAGGAAGGCCAATTACCAGGAGAAGATGATGATAATTAATCAGAAGAGATTCGAGGCGTTGAGGGTGGGATTTCAAAGGATTAATGAATACTTTGAGGAGATATTCGGAGAAATTGTGAGGAATGGAAGGGCTAGACTTTATCCGGTGGATAAGCGGGGGAGGGAGCTCGATGAGTTGCGGTGGAGGAGGGTCCAGGGGGTCAGGATAAAGGCGACTTTTGTTGGAGGACAGCAGATGGATAAGATGAATCAATTCTCTGGGGGGCAGAAGACTGTTATGGCTGTTGCTCTCATTTTTGCAATTCACAGATTCAAGCCTGCACCATTTTATCTGCTTGATGAAATTGATAAAGCACTGGATCAAAGCTTCAGGGCCTCTGTTGCTGAACTTATCCACAGGATGAGTGCTACAGCACAGTTTATGACGATTTCTTTCAGCGGTGAGTTGTTAATGCAGGCTGACACTTATTTCAGAGTCACTTCTCGTCGTGATTCCTCGCATGTTGAGGGCTGCAGCAGGGAAGAAGCTGTGGAGATCGTCAGGAGAGACTCCGAAGAAGAATAATATCATTTTTTCATTCACATTAAATTTACTTATTGTTTGGTTTTATATTGAAGACGTGAAATTGTTGATAATTATTATTTTCGTTTGTCTTTTTAATTAGATTCATTTTTGTTTGTAAAATAGAATATATCACTGTAAAATCATTCGTTTATTTTGACTGTATCTTACAAAAAGCTGAAAGCGATATGAAATAAAACGACTTCAGACAAGATCATCGAGAATTTTCTGGATGACAAGATTAATTGATTATGAATGACCTATGAGGATGTACTACTTGTCCTTGCGTTGACTCGTCAGACTGTCATGGAGATTAGCAACAGCTGTTTCCACCAGCTCAGGGATGACAATACCATTGACATCGATGAAGTTGGCCACTGACTTCGTAAATTGTGTCTCATTGATGACCCCTGTCTGCTCGTTCTTCACAGACAACACCAGATTGTACATGTCGTCGTACTTTTTGAGGTACGAGGATGCCTCCCAGGTGCAGTCAGGATCGTAACCAGCTGGATCCCTTAAAAATATCAAGTGTAACTCATCAGCATCAAGACTTCAACATTTTTCCAACGGAAATTTGACCTCGTTCCCCTCCTTTTATCCCTTCTCATCGCAGAAATAATTTTTTACCTCTGAACAGCCACGAGGAAAATCCCCTTTTCCTTGTAGGTGGTGTACAGATTCAGGATAGCCATGAGGACAAAATAAATGGAGACACACGTTACTAGGATATGCCTGGATGCTGGAAATGGATAGAGATAATCCCAGAGGAGTGCAATACTGGAAACTCCAACAGCAATTCCACAGATTCCGAGTCTCATGTCCAATAGTGAGAAATTCTCAGAGTAATTGTACTTCCTGGTGATGACCTCCTTCACAGCATCATCTAGAGCATTTTTTACAGCTGCCCCATCCCATTTGTTGATTTTCACCGGCTGAAATGATGATTTCATTATTATCCGGTCATCTGGAGCAGTTGGGGGCATGTGTTTAAGTGTTTTTTAGAGATTTATGGGGATTTTGGAATAATTATCGATGGAATTGATTGATTATGAGAATATTTAGGAGTGATTAAGGATAATTACCAGATTTCCATTGTCCTTTGAATCCTTTTTCGATGCCATATCTACCATAACACTTAGCAACAGCTTTTATCAATGACTACAGGTTAAGTAACACGTCAACAGACACGTAATTGGACGCGATCTGCTGGGGAAATCTAGAGACGTCAAGTGTTTTACAGTTAAAAATCTAACCTGCAAGTTTTTTCAACACGAAATACTGTGGGAATAAACAAAAATAAATTTCGCACTATTCTGATTATTTTTGAAGCAGAGATTCGAGGAGATGTCTGTTTCTATCAAGAAGGAGGACAATATCCTTATCCTGGTCAATGACAAGGTCAATGTCGAGAACTTTCCTGCCAGAATTACCCCAACTCAAACTGTGATGAGATCAGCAGATTGGAGAACATGTAAAATCCTTTGATAATTGGTGATTTTTCTCATTGAAGATTACATTTCCCGTCAAAAAATATTCAAAAATCTTTAATTAAGAGGTAAATTAATTATTTATTTGTTTGCAGTCATACACGAGCCATCCTTGTACCATTGTATCCTCACATTTGGTGTTGACGAGAAGAAGGATCTCCTGGAGTTCCTAAAAGTCCTCAAGCCAGGAGGTCTCGTTATATCCACTAAATCAATCAGTAATTCCAAGAAAACTGAAGGAGAAAAACTCTTCTCCGAGGAGATTTCTTCCCTAAGAGCCACTGGATTTCGTTTCAAAGAGTGCAAAGTCAGTCCTCTGGAGTCTAACTGGAGAATTCCAGGTCTTCTGAATGATGATTATGAGGATGACCTAGAGATGTGTGAGATCATCGTGGAAAAACCGTCGTACGAGGTAAATATTGATTTTAATACATCATCCTCGAGGAATTTTCGTATTTCCAGTGGTTTTCATTATTTAACTTATTTCTTTGTCAACAGATTGGATCCTCAGTGGCTCTTTCCTTCGTAAAAAAGCCCCAGAATGTCTGGAAGCTCGATGATGCTGTTGAAGATGACCTCATCGACGAGGACGACCTCCTGGACGAGGAGGATCTGACGAAACCTACTGAGTCTTCTCTGCGAGGTATTTTCACTCTGTCTCTGAAATAATTGCCCTGGAGTATTCCATTATATTCTTTAATTATATTTTTAATCATCATTTCTAGTTTGTGGAACCACTGGAAAACGTAAGGCCTGCAAGGACTGCTCCTGTGGTCTTGCAGAAGAGTTGAATGGAGAAATTCCCAAGAATGAAATCCAAAAATCTTCGTGTGGTAATTGCTACCTCGGAGATGCCTTCAGGTGTGCCAGCTGTCCTTACTCCGGAATGCCAGCATTCAAACCTGGAGAAAAGGTCGTACTCCCATCGTCACAACTGACTGCTGACAATTAATTCAATTAATCCAATCAAATCAATTATTAAACCCCATAAAAAATAAAAAATAAAAATTCCAGGACACGAATAACTGTTTTCTCTGCGATAAATCAAGGTCGTTCAATTTTTTCTTATCAATTTATTTCTTTTTACAGTAATAATTTATGCTCTGCACATAAATTCTCTTCTACTTAATTTTTACCCTCGTAAAAATTCTACCCACTAGACTCAAGTAAGAATGACAAAGATCATTACAAAAAAATAATGTGAAAACAATGTTTTATGGATAAATAATTTGGGAATACACCCCTTTCTCCATAAATCCACTATCACGTCGCTGGTGATCAGTGCCTGGGAAAAGGGTATTTTCCAGATCTCCAATAAGTACCACGAAATAAATTCAATATCAAAAACCTCGAGCTCCCCCTCAATTTATTTCAATGGACAGAAAATGATTGTTCTGATGAATGGATTAAGTTACCAATTGCCTAAGTATTGATCTCACTTACTGAAAGCCTAGAATTTATTATTTACAAACCCCAGTAAGGCATTTGTTGGTTCTGTAGCCATAAATAGCCCTAAAATTTCCCCCACAATTCTACATTTCACTCAAAAAAAAAAAAAAAATACAACTCCTGTGAATATTCTTTAAATAAACACTAAAAATTGATTTAAAAAACAAAAATCCAGATTCAACTCCTGATAAATTATACACTAAAACAATTTCTCGAATTAGAAATCAATTTTAAATTATTCTCTTCATTTAGGGATGAACCACAGAAAAAAAAATATAAACTAAAATTTAAATAATGAAAATTATTTCGATTCTTCATCGATTCATCTCCCATTCTAAATTTGAATAAAAATTATAATTTATGATCATTTTGAGAGATTCAGTGTTTTCACGTTGCACCACGCGATTTGATTATTAATTAATCTTTACTGCGCTGGTGGTTTTGTTTTGTTAGTTAATTATTCATATGTGTATTTATTTACATTTATGTAGATAAACCGCTTGGGTTCAGCCTTAGGTATCAGCGTATATGATTTCTACACGTGGAATGGCTAGTACTCACTAACCGCCGACTATTTTATGCTGAGGTCACGATTTACTTCATCATTGTTCTCGGCTACTGCCGACGTTAACAATTTACTGGTTTGAAGACATTAAATAGTGTGATCAGGCAGTTTGCGGTATCGGGTTCTGCATCGAGGGAGATTTTTATTTCAGCATGACGAACTTGATTAACCGATAAAACGAAATAACTCGAATTGAACTCCTCTGAGTTTTCTGGCAATATCTTCAAAAATACGGGAGACAGAGAAATTTTCATTATCACCTCTTTTGTAGGATTCAATCAGCTCTACAAAAAAGGTGATAACAAACCTTTCGCTATCTTCCTTAGATCTCGAGATTTTCATTAGTCTAGCGAACTGTGGATATCCATTCGATTTTTTATGATTCAAATAAATTAATGATCATACCTCCGCAACTACGGGAGATAGCAAAATTTTTGTAATGATCTTTTTTACAGCTCTTAATGATCTCTCCAAAAAAGATTCCTACGAGAATTTCACAATCTCCCTTAGTTTCGGAGATATTTTGTAAATGAACTCAACTGTCCACTTAAAAAAAATAAATTCCTCCCTCAATCGTATTGTTCCTCTCAACATTTTAATTTGTGCTCTGAATTCCTATTCCGGCATTGGCTCAGAAGCTTTGGACACGTAGGCAGTAATAAATGTCATGATATGTTGAACTCGAACATTCTGCTGAATTATTCTAATTAAATCTCCAGTGGAAGTGACCATTAAATAAAATCAATGATAAATGAACAACTGATTAATAATAAATGATAACAGAATCATTTCTCTACTCTTTGGTAACTAAAAATCAGCACCAGATCACAACTTCTCTGGGCTTATAAAAACAAAATAATTGAATTGATGAGTAAAATGAATGATTGTTCGTTGGTAGTCCCTCGTATTTCTCAGTATAATCTTGTTAATTAAAACAAGAATATTCCTTTGGCGACGTTTTCTCGTCATTGTCAAACTTAACAATAATACTAAATGTTTTCTCCATGATTTACCCACTCAGTTAGCAGACAAGTGAGATATTAAACAGTCTCGTAACAGCGAAATTGTCCTGATGAGAATGAATAGTTGTGAATTCTTATGAATTGGATGCTAGCACGAGTTGTTGCCTTCCATATCCAGCAGAAGAGAATTTTTCTCCTCTTTTTTGTTGCATATTGGCTCTGGATTTCGACGATTTGGCTCAAAGCAGGGCTGGAATAATTTTTTTTTCTTATTCCTCTCGATTATCTCGAGTGTGTAATTAATTTCATAATGGAATTATTGGAGTCTGGGGAGGGATTCACTCACCGTTTCACAGATATTCATGTTGCAGCAATCCTCAATCATAATTTCACACTGATTCCCTGGCAATTGCGGTCTAGATGTCAGTGGAGTTATGCCATTTTTGCTAACGACGAAACGCTTCTTGATTCTCGGTCTTCGTCGCAATTTGTTTACGAAATAGCTAAGTACAATTATTGATGTTGTAAGTACAGTAATTATCACTGACAATATTATCACTAGAGTTTTGTTCTGTACGCCGTATATGTACATGCTGCATTGTGAATTTTCGGTTACATTTCTCTCCAGACATCTGTAGAAGTAAATAAAACATTTTTCAATGAAATAAAAATATCGTAATTATTATTACGATGATTTTAATGAGAGAATAGAATTACCTGCAGATGATTCGATCAAGATCTCCGAACTCCTGGAGTCCGGTTGTGCAGAGGAGTCCACAGATACCATCCCCTCCGATCCTCTCCTGGCACCTCACTCCAGTGGCATCCTGACACCTGCAGACAGGTTCTCCACCCTGGATCTCGCACTCTCCTCCATTCAGGCAGAATCCTACACATACATCTTGCTCGCACCTCCTCCCCCGGAACCTGGAGGAGCACCTGCACCTGGGTATGCCCTCATGCACCTCGCACTCTCCCCTGACGCAGAAATTATGGCAGACAGAAGTTTCGCATTGGACGCCATCATATCCCTTCTGACAGGAGCACCTGTTACCCTGGCGGTGTCCCCCATTCAAGCAAACGATCTCCACTTTTTTGTCCTCCCCCAGGTCCTCAGTGCTGGTTATGAGACCCTCGTAGACCTCAGAGTTGGCCTCACTCTTGGATTCTCTCATTCTCTCGACGACGACGCAATCTACGTGCCCCAGGTTGTCTCTGGCCACTAGACTTCTGGGATCGGCGTCTCGATTCGTCTCCAGAAAGGACTTCCATTCCTCAGGTTCTCGTCCAGGTGATGGTGTCTTGCTGAGTCTCCAGATGGCTGAGTGGACCCAGTCAGTCCAGTAGATAAACTCCTCGTCGATGGTGAGGTGCACTGGCTGCTGGTGTTTGCCGTGAGCTAGAAGTTCCCTCTGCGTTCCATCCAGATTACTTCTCTCTACCTTGTAGGTGATACCCTCCTCGTCGTCGAGCCAGTAAAGCTTTCCTGATGTGTGGTCCACAGCCACTGCCAGGGGATCGTAAAGATTGGAATTTATTATGGTTTTCCTGGAGGTTCCTGAGAGGTCGGAGGACTCTATCGATGGTGAGGAGCGATTGCTGTTCGTCCAGTAGAGGGTCCTTGTGCAGAGGTCCAGGGTGATACTCCTGGGACTCTTATCTGCCAGATCGATGATCACTTCTGGTGGGGACGAGCTCTCGCTGAAGTCCCTGGTCGATTTATTACTCGTTAATCTCAGTCGGAGGATCGAGGAGAGAATCGAGTCTATGTAGAAGAGGGATGAGGTCACTGGGTCGTAAACCATTCCAATTATATTCGTGAAGTTGACGTTTGGAAGAAGTGGACTCCAGATTTTAGTCTCTTCCTGTAGATTTTTTGAGAAGATCGAGGTATTTCGGTTTCGGATGTCCCCCAGGTACATCTCGTGGGACTCCGGATCGTAGGCTATTGCTGATAGAGAAACTGCGGCGGGATTCAGCAGTCGACCTGTCAGGGTGCCGTTGGAGGAAAAAAAATTCACCTCCCGACCGATCGTCACTGCTAGATCTGCAAAGGGGAAAATCACAGGGAAATTACGCTGTTCTGGGATCTCCGGGTGACCCGGGGGGGTTCCGGGTGACCTGGGAGGGTTCCGGGTGATCGGTTATCACTGCGATATCGATTGGAGATTCTTTTGATAACGATTTCCGTCTGACTTCAGGGAATCCACCGAAGGGTTCATACAGTTTTCGTTAATTATCCGGATAATTAGAGGTTTTAGGAAAAAACTTTGTAAGACCCTTTTTGAAGATCGGGAGATTTCCTAAAAATATTTCTTCTGACGTTTTGCTCTAAGACGAGGCTCTCCCGAGATAATCGCGCCGTTTGGGTCTAGATTTCAGTTTTAACGACCAACTACTGAATTTAATTGTTAACGTACTTTTAATAAATCGAATTACAGTTTCGAATTGATGATAACAGTATTAGCATATTCAATTCGATGACAGAAGTGTGGGAAAGAATTATACGAGGGGAAACTAGAATTCATCCAGTCAATTTAATTGGCGAGACAATTCGCTGTGCGTTTAATTGATAATAATAGAAAACTATTTGAATTAATTGACGCCGAGAATAATTTTAATCATATCAAATCCACTGATAAAAATAAATTGGATACTATACATCGATGATCTTGACCTCGCATATCGCATTCGAGTATCGGATTATGATAACGAGAAATTTTCCTCGTGGGAATGCAATCAAATGATTTATTTCTTCATCGGAAATATTCCAAATATTTATTTGTATTAAATAAAATCAAATTTTTCTTAATTGTTCACTGAATTTTTTTAGAACAATTATTATTTACAGAACATTCATTTATTCTGCATTAACAATGGAAATTGTTGGGCAAGCCAATAAATTTCCAATTCAACCAAAAAAAAATAATAATAAAAATGAAGCTATCGAAAAAAATGATTTTCCCATGAAATAATGAGTAGTAAAATCTCTCCAGTGATTAACCCGGAAATATCTCCGAAACAACTCGAGATAACAAAATTTTTATATCTTTCTTTTTTATAGAGCAAACCGCGATCTACAAGAAAGGTCATTACGAAAAAATCGATATCTCCGTTAGTTTCCGAGATATCGATGATTACGAGTGACACATTTAATTTTCAAGTTCAGAAAAAGTTATGGATTTTTTTATTGGAGAATCGTGCGAGGAATCGTTGACAGGCGATTGAAAAAACTCGAAAAAAGCACTAGGTTTTGATAAAAAATCAAATATCCAGTGCTCTTGAGGCATTCCCAGCGGTCAAACCTGCATAACAACCGCTTTTCATAAACGATTACGTAAATGAACTCAATGTGACCCGGAAAAAAGGAAGTGGTAAAACCGAAGGAAAAACTCTCAAGAATTATTTACGACTGGTCTTGGGGTTGGTTCCATTCATAAACCCCGATATTATCAATGAATTAAACAAAAATCACTGGGTGCGAGAGAGAACGAGCGATTGCTGGCGTACGTGACAGGTACCCAGGGCTAAATGGCAACCGAAGTAACACGAGTACTTCAATGCACATCTACCGGTGGACAAACTAAAAAAATGATAAAATAAATAAATACGAGTGATTTGGTGAATTAAAAAATCACTGGTGATCGATATCGAGAGGATTTTTAATATTTTTATGTGATAAAATGTGAAAACTCACCCCACGTTCTGGCATGTGCTCTCAGCACTCCGAAAATTGACAGGATCAAGAAAATCCGGGTAATTCGGGGATAACACAGTTCCATTTTTATGATTTATTGATGATGAGCATTGGGGATATTTTTTTTATTTTTTGGGAATCGATTTTTTTTTTTTTTTTGAGGTTTTAACGGAGTGAATTTTCAGAGATCTGTGCGCACACACGGACGAACGGCAACTGATCGTCCCATGCGGCGGGAGAAATTTTGAAGTGATTTTTTCGGGAGTGGGGGCTGAGGTCGGTCATTGGGAGAAAATCATATTGGGATTTGTTTATTTATTGAGATTATTTATTGAGTTACGGCGATGGAAGCCTTGAAATGGTTGAATGTCCGAGGAAAAATTAATTCTGGTCAACGAATTAATTTATTTAATAATAAATTAGACATGAATTAAATTATTCAATGATTTTTGGAATTAATTCTTAATAAAATTCTGAACTTGTTTATAATATTCATTACTTTTCCACGTGAATTATATTTTATTATTGACGTGGAATAAATAATATGATTCTTTAAATAAATAATACAATTTTCATTGAGTAATCTCCATACAATGCGATTATATAATTGTCGCATTGCCGTGATAATGAGTGATTTCGAGGGAAAATGTGAAAGTACATTTTTATAAAAAATTTCACGGCTCAAGAATGGTCTCTAATTTTTTTTATAAAACCGACCTCTCCTCGATGTAATTATATAATTAGATAAGTCTTTGCAAATTGCTCGTTACGATTTTTATATTTTTCTCTAGATTATTGTGTCTGTAATTAATGAGTTCATTAATGAGATTTTACAATTAACGCAGTACGACGGGATTTATGCGACATGTGCAATTATTTTGATTAATCATTCAATTTCCTGCGATTATTTTAACAATTGCCAGTTGTGCGTCATTCATTGGAAAATCTAAATGATCGAGAGATCTTATCTCAATTATTTATCGAGTTAATGACAATTTAATAATCAACTAAATCGAATTATCCAATTATTGTTTCAATAATTCACGTCAAACCTTGAATTTTTATTACATCTTTTTTTCAATAACAAAATTGTTTACAAAAAAAATCGCGATAATATCAAGCCTTAATTATTATTGTTTAATAACAATATTAATAATTCGTTGATATTAGTAGTAATTATTGTTAAATAAGAACAATTATTGTAAAATAATGAAGTCGTTTTTGAATTTGAATTTGAAATGAGTCACGTGCACCTTCAGCCGAATAAATCCCGAAATTCTCCGAAGATCCACGAACTCCAGAGGTGATAGACGAATTTATCAGAGGATTTATATTCAAAAGCAATCGTTATCACGTCCTTGATAACTCGATGATCAACTGAGCCTTCAAATCAACTGAAAACAGGATTAATATATTCACTAATTACCGATGAATTAAATTGAGGTCAACTCCTGGATCTGGCGCAACAATCGTAATGAATTGAGGTTATTCCTGTATAAACAATGGATAATTCACTTGATAACGCGGATCTCAGGCAGCATAATGACTTCTTAATGAAGTACCAGAGTATCAACAACAAATTAAAGAAGTAAGCATCATTCATTTATTAACAAAATTGATTATTTTCACTTGACCTACTTTATGGTTTGTGTCAATGCCTCGAGAACGGAAGGACTCAGTAAAATTTCTGTAGGATTTTTTTTGTAGAGATAATAGTGAGCTACTTTTATAATTAAAATCATTAATTAAACGTTTGATTAATGAACGCCATAAATTATCATTGTCTCCAGGAGATTCCTGAGGAATCCAAACATAACAGAAGCCAGTGAACAATTCAGTAAGAAACCTAGTATCCAAGGAATAAATCAATCTGCAATTATTCCATTCAACAGAATAATTAATTGTTTTAATTTTTCAGACTCTTTAGCACTTAATTGCGAGCAGGAAGAGGCTTGGCAATACGCAGGCCTCTGTTCAACAGCTGTGGCACGTTGTTACCACACCCTCGGGGACACGGAGTCGGAGATAAATAATTTATTGAGAGCAGGTAGACATTTCCTGACGGCTGACAAACAGAACTGGAGCATTGGATGTCCTTCAGTTGGTCAGGAGAACTTTCAGGCCGCCACCAGCTGTTTCTCCGATGCCGTTCAAGCCTGTCATAATTCCCCTGAATTCAGTGCCACTGCTGCTGGAGCAATCCTGGAACTCGCCATCGCCCTGGGACCAACTCCAGCTGCTGGACAATTCGTCAAAAAATCCATTGGAATTTTTCCAACAGCTCAAGCATTCGATTTGCTACTGTCTTATTACATAAAACAAGGTGAGAGCATCTTTATAAATAAATGTGATAAATATATTTATTTTTATTTAATATTTATTATTATTGTTCAAGTAAATTCAAATAAAGTTCTTTTCATCTGGTTTTTGCACCTGTTTTTTAACGGTTTGACAGTTGATCATGATTTTTATTCCCAGGAGATCATACCTCCGCTCTGAACCTCTGTACTGAGTTCATGGATTTGTTGGAGTCATCAGCTGCTTCGAATCATTCAGCTCGTTACAGAATATTCATACGCAAAATAGAGATCAATCGACTTTTGCTGATATTAATTCAGCAGTTGACTGTTCAGAGATTGTCCCCGGGAATTTCTGAAGTTCTGGAGAGATTTACGTCGATTGAAGACAATTGGAGTGCAAGTAAGTGAAATAATTTGTATTAAACAAAAGAAAATTGATTTAACCCTTGAATATTCAGGGAATATCTCCAAAACTAAAGGAATTATCGACATTTTCATCAGGACTTTTTTTGTAGAGCTAATTATGATGAAATGAAAAGGTTATTACAAAAAAATCGATATCTCCTTTAGTTCGGCGATATTTCCAAAAAAGATGTTTCTTGTACGAGTTGTCAAATGTTCTCACTGATTTGATTGACATTTTTTTAGATTCCCATTTGAGTGAAGACGAATTTATTCTCCTCCAGTCGTTAGTCCTCGCCTGTCAATCAAAGGACTCTCACTCCCTCCTCGCCTTGGAGAACGATTTATGGAATTACTTGAATACAGAGCAAAAAGATTTACTACGCCAACTAGTGAAGATTGTAACAACAGAATAATCTAATTACTGGCCACAAAAAAAAAATCTGTCAATTGAAATTGCCTCAGTCATGCTGAGACTTTCCATTGACAGCTCCCCGATACCCAAAAGGATTCATCGTCTGCCACTTCCAGAAGTCCCTGCACATATCCTCAACGGTGAGTCTGCTGGTCCATCCTAATTCCTCCCTTGCCAAATCAGCATTTGCCCACATGCTGACAATATCCCCTTCCCTCCTCTCCTGGATGACATAAGGTACATTAGTCCCAGTGACTCTCTCGAAGGTCTTGATGAGATTCAGAACAGACACACCCTCGCCAGTCCCCAGGTTATAAACCCTGAGCCTCTGAGGGCATTTCTGGAGAGCAGCAAGTGCTGCCACATGCCCAGCAGCCAGATCCATCACGTGAATGTAATCTCGTATTCCAGTGCCATCAGGGGTTGGATAATCACCCCCGAAGATGGTCAACTTGTCCTTGTGCCTGAGGGCAACTTGTGCGATGAAGGGCATGAGATTGGTGAAGGGTTTTGTGGGATCTTCACCGATTAATCCACTGGGATGAGCCCCCACTGGATTAAAATACCTCAAGCAGATGATGTTCCATGTTTTCTCTGCCCTGGAGATGTCCTTCAGCATTTCCTCGATGAAGTACTTGGTCCTGCCGTAGACGTTCGTTATATTCCCCACTGGGTGATCCTCAGTTATTGGAAGGTAATCAGGCTCGCCATAGACTGTACAGGAGCTCGAGAACACCAGATGAAAACATCTCGACTCTTTCATCACCTCCAGAAGATTTATAGCACCAATTACGTTGTTCCTGTAGTAGTGCAGTGGCACCTGCATCGATTCTCCAACAGCTTTTATCGCTGCGAAGTGAATCACGCAGTCGATCGTGTGAGCCTTGAAGACTCTCGATAACTCCTCGCGATTTGTCAGGTCGCAGGTGTAAAATTTTATTGTTTTACCCGTTATTTCTTCTACTCGGGCTAGAGCTGCTGCTGTACCTGAGGATGAGACACTGTTGGAGAAGTTGTCGATGGCGATCACTTCGTAACCTGAGGACAACAGCTCTACGATGCAGTGGGAGGCGATGTATCCAGCACCTCCTGTCACGAATACTGTCTTCCAGGGCTGCGACATCTTCGGAAACAATAATAAGGTAATAATTCATTTATTTCGAAGTAATTGAATTGGTTTATTATTTGTAATAATAATCTATTTCAATTATTCTAGTCGGAATGTAGAAAAATGCTGGACTTTTGCAATAGAAAATTATTAATTCTGACGTTTTAATCTTCGAAATAAATTTAATCACGTCATTAAATATTTAAACAGATGCTAATTTAATTTGTCTCATTGAATCAATCGACACGTGCCGGTGAACGTGCAGGTCATCGCCTGGAATTATCAATTTTCTCTGGTACCTCTAACTTTTTCTCGTCTAGAAATTCCGATTTCGCCCTTTCCAAATTCTAAAAGAATCGTGAAAAATTCAGGCTGGAGTAATTCATCCAGAAATATACGACTTCGATTACCTTCATCATATTTGCACAGTTGTTTACATAAAATTGTGATATGACTTCTCCTACATTACTATAAAAACCTGAAATAAAAAAAATTTTCTAGTGAGTCTGAGAAATTAGCAGAGATGGAGAATTCTCTGGTGTTCTTCATCACTTTTCTGTGCGCATCTTCGCTGATTGCCACGAGCAGTCTGTCCTGTCAGAGGCCAAAGTGGAACTTGAAGATCTGCCAAATAAAGAATTCGTCGGTCTTGGTGAAGTTCGAACGAGAGGTCGGGAAAACGTGGATCCATGAGGGGGAGAATGTGATACTCTTGCAGCTGATCAACTTGATGATTGCACCCCAGGAGGAAAATAGTTTCGAGATCATCGAGGCTGAGGACTTGGGGAGAATACCAAAATTGTTCGCCCTCAGTCTGAACAACACAAAAATTCGAGGATCATCTCCTTTTCGTGATCAGCGATACCTCAGGACAGTTCAACTCGTCAACAATCAGTTTCAAGAATTCCCTCGGGAGTTCTTCCAGGGAATTCCCGACGTGCGATTCTTGGGGATTCAAAAGCAAAATATTGGAGGAATATACCGTTCATCGTTCTCAAATATCTCAGAACGTCTGGAGAAATTTTATTTCCAGGCGAATCAGCTGAGAATCATTGGACCCAATACTTTCTCCAAGTTCACGATCCTGGAAACTCTGGATTTGACGAGCAACAAGTTGGAGGTGTTGAAGGCTACCATGTTCTCTGGTCTTGATGGTCTGGAGACTCTCTCGTTGGATTGCAATCGGATAAATAGGATTGATCCTCAAACTTTCTCAGCCCTCAGGAATTTGAAAATCCTCAACTTGGCGAACAACCTGTTGACGACTTTAGGATCTGCTCTGTTCAAACCTCTGCGTTATCTGAAGAGTCTTCAATTGAGTTCCAATAAAATAGAGAAGATTCTTCCAGGGACTTTTGACGGCTTGATTTATCTCCGGAAATTATTTCTAACGGGCAATAAGTTCCATGTGCCAGAGACCTTTTTTGCGGATCTGCGAGGTTTGGAAATTCTGAAAGTCTATGGGAGAGACTTTCAATCTAGCGATCGATGTGACGTTTTGGAACCGATGGATCCTCCCAGATCAATTCCAATGATCGATCCTGATATAACGGGATATGGATCGATCGTCAATCGATTTTTAATACCCGAAAGTGAATATTTATTCAGTTCAGGGGAGAAGTCGTATTACAATTAATATATTATAATTATAGATTCGATCAAATTATCAATATTACTAATAATTCTATTTATAATTTGTTCGTATCGATCGCAGACTAGAGTGGATTTAAAAAATCAATCAAAAGATTTATATAATTATCATTCTCCAATTAATTATCAGAACAGATCGTTTATATTTATTGAATAATTCAGTGGGGAGAAAGGAAAGATAAGGAGTCGACTCAATTAATAATTAATTGATTAATTATATTATTAGTTCGATATTATTTATTTATTTAAGATAGAATTATTAGTAGAATCGAAGGAAATGAATTGAATGTTTAATTATTTAACTTTAAATTCGAGAGAATTGTTTTTCTATTTGTTTAATTACTTTTATTATATATTATTCATTTATTTATTTAAATATGTACGGGGATTTCGGTGCGGGAATGGCGAAGGATTTTCACTTTTCATTATTTTTTTTTTTTTATTAAGTAATTGAGGGTTTTTGAATTTCTCACGAATTCTTTTTAAAAACCGCATGATTTCAAATATAATGACGAAGTAAACCCGAGAGTCAGGAGTTACCCTAACGGTATTATGAAATTCCCAGACAAAACTCGTTCCCGACTCCTGATTCCTCGGACGTCTCTCCGGCCTTCAATTAAAACCGAAAAATAAAAAATCAGAACAAATAATCAATCGCGATTCACTGACTCACCGAAAGCCCCACCTTTAGTGAATAAATAATTGTAATTGTTGAAAGGAGAAGTTGAAGGAATGATAGTTGAATAATTATTTGTACCTTTTGTGGGTATTTTTTGTTGTCCAGCGGTTTTCGTCGTCGAACTGGATTTATTGGTTGTTAATTAATTAAATAATTTGTTGTTTTAATTTGTTGATGGAGGCAACTGGTGGATGGAAAAAGTGAGAGGGTCTTGCCGGTTGCTCGGTTGATCCTCGACTGGTTGCTAATTCTACAGTGACTCCCGTCTACAGTATGATGGAGAAAAAAAAAAGAAATAATGTATATTTTCTATAAAAATTTTTTTTTATGTAAAATTGAATAACTAATCAAGCAATAAATGCAATTGTATAATCAATTTATATTAGAAATTATTGTGATTAAATGTAAGAAATTATTAATTAATTCTGACTCCACAATTTGAATAAAAATGGAATGAAAAGTAAATAAATAAATAAACTTAATCAATAAAATAATTAAGGAAGTGGGAAACAACGTTTTATGGAATTTCAAATGAAAAAAATTATTCAATATGTTGAAGATATACTAGTAATAAAATTATATTATTACAATAAACGCGTTGTCGTAATTGGCAACGTGCTTGACTGTCACGCCGAAGGCTAGGGTTCGATCCCGCCACGATTCATTTTTTTTTTATTTAAACAATTCCAATTTCTCTTTGTTAATTACTAATCAATCGAAATATTATTTAAAAACTGAATACCTACTCGATTTTCATGTTTCTCTGATACTTTTTCGAAAATTTTGAATTTGAAAATTTTCCAGTGAATACCTCCTTGGATCTCCTGTTCTCCTGATATTTTTTCGAAAATTTTGCATTTGAAAATTTCAGTGAATACCTCCTCGGATCTCCTATGCTCCTGATACTTTTTCGAATATTTTGCATTTGAAAATTTCAGTGAATAACTCCTCGGATCTCCTATTCTCCTGATACTTTTTCAGAAATTTTGCATTTGAAAATTTCAGTGAATACCTCCTCGGATCTCCTATTCTCCTGATACTTTTTCGAATATTTTGCATTTGAAAATTTCAGTGAATACCTCCTCGGATCTCCTATTCTCCTGATACTTTTTCGAA